CGCAACATCGACCGCGGGCTTCCCGGCAGAGCGCGTGCACTGACGTGTTCATCCACCTGATAGCTGTGCTGGACTAGCAAGGATCCATAGCTCAATCGGAAGAGGCGCTGCAGCTCTGAAGCTTGGAGACCGAGGGCTCGATTCCACCCGGGCGCGGATCATTTTTTTTTTACTTGGCGAGTGCCTTTGGAAATTCTTTTTCTCCCTCGACCCGAGACGGATCTCCAAGACGGATCTTTCCACCTCCAGCCCAGTGACCGCCTCTCCTGGGAATAAGAATTTCCAAGAGAGGGATCTTTTCACCTCCAGCCCATCCCCGAGACGGATCTTTCCACCTCCAGCCCAGTGACCGCCTCTCCTGGAAAATAGGAAAATCCCCGAGACGGATCTTTCCACCTCCAGCCCAGTGACCGCCTCTCCTGGGAATAGGAACGGATCTTTCCACCTCCAGCCCAGTGACCGGTTTTTTCTGGGAATAGGAAAATCCACGAGACGGATCTTTCCGCCTCCAACCCAGTGACCGCCTCTCCTGGGAATAGGAAAATCCACGAGACGGATCTTTCCGCCTCCAGCCCAGCCTGGGAATAGGAAAATCCACGAGACGGATCTTTCCACGAGACGGATCTTTCCACCTCCTGGGAATAAGAATTTCCATGAGACGGATCTTTCCACCGGCCACGGCCGACCCGGGTGGCAGAGAGAAGCTTCTGGCATCTGCGCAGACTTCTCTGCGCGGGTTTTCTTTTTTGTGTTTTTTGTGTTTGCTTTTTTTCCGGCTCTTTGTGTTTCGGGCTAGAACTCAAATTGTCCAATGTCGGCATTTGTCGGCGAGGTTTTCTTGGCGCCCTGGATTCGTAGCCACCCCCCATGTTGGCGTCACGTGCCGTAGTAGTAGGGCCCCGGAACCCCTGACGTCGGCCAATGAGTCTGCACTAGTTATAACCTTGCGGCTGTTTGGTGGCTTCATGTGTATATAGCGCGAACTCAACACCCGTGCCGAGAATGCGTTGTGGAAAAAAGTACTGCCGCGGCTGCCGCCCGAGTAACTTAGGGTGAGCTTATAAGTTCGTTTTAACTTGCATAAGTTAACTGCTTCATAAGTAACTTATAAGTTAGATAAGTAACTTATAAGCCCCGTAAGTTATTTCCTGCATACTGGTACTCCTGTCCCAGCGCCTCGCACCAGCGCCGCCGCAGTACTGCGCAGGGCTGCTGATGGCCACCTTGGGGCTCTCCGACGGCCATGAGCTGGCGCCGCGCCTCCCGCAGATCCTCGCACCAGAACAGCCCCGGCCGCACGTCCGCCGAGTCGAAGCGCCTCCACTCCCCGATGGGCGGGAGGGTCTGCCTCGGCTCGCCCGGTAGAGCACGCGCGCCGCCTGCTCCAGCACCCGCTTCACGGCCTTGTACATGTAGCAGTGCCCGTCGAAGGCCAAGAAGCACACGGTGCGGAGCTGTCCACGAGGTCGCCCTGCGAGCTTAGCACGCGCATCGGGGCGTTGCGCCACACGCAGAACTCCCGCACCTCCTCGGCGGAGATGCCGAGGCGCCTCCAGTCGTGGCGCGGCATGGCGTCGAAGTCGGCGCACACCTCCTCCACGCTCAGCTGCAGCAGCTCGGCCAGCTGCCGGGGCACGCAGAGCGGCTTGTCCTCGAAGGCGCTTGGCAGCACGTCCTCCTCGCAGCCGGGCCTGCAGACATTGCGACTCGGCCCCAGCGCATGTTGGTCCACAGACAACTGCCGCTTCGCGCATGTGTGTGCCATCCTGAATTGCCAGCTCAACCACCCCGCCAGCAAGCTCACCTGACATAGCCCCAAGCAAGGTCCGGGAGACCCGCCCTTGCCATCTTTCAACCTTGACTACAACAAAGAACACGACATCCTCAATGATGATGTGTTTGAAGCCTTGTTGAAATTGGCCTGGCCGGGGCAGGTTGCAATGGCAATGCTAGCGCCGCCCTGCAAAGACTCTGAGTGAAGTCCGGTCAGTGTGGCCCTGCCTTACCAAGCCAGCTACATGGCTTGTTTTGAAACGCTGGCCCAGCTCGCCTCGGAGGTGGACATTACTCCTTCTCCATGCCTTCCGGCACTGACAACTCGGCCACAGAGTTGTTTCAGCAAGTTGTGGCCCTTGCAACTTTTCTTGCAGCTCGTGGCTGCTTGGGCGCACGCGTGTAACGTGTTGTTGCAACCTACCCATGTGCCGGGTTGCTGCAACGATTGGGCAGATGACCTCAGCAGAGGTCGCTTTGCCAGATTCCAGCATCGCCTTTCGGGCCTGGCGCAGGCAGCTTTGAGCTCTGCCCGGTTGATTGGCGGCCAGAACACCCGGCGGCCGCTTCGTTGCGCTAATGACTGCCGTGCAATAATTGAGTGCTTTCACCATGGTCACGTCTGCCATGTTGTAAATGAGACGCCTTCTCTTGCCGCCGGTGCAACCCCGCACCGAAGGGGGTCTTAGCGACTTGGCTTCAAACTGCTTTTTCCGGGGTTGCTTTGAAAAGGAGGGGGAATATCCTCGCCCCTATCCCCAGGTGCACCGCTGTGCCCTGGGCAAGTGCGACCTTCAAAGCAACCCGACAAAGAAGGTGTGCGCCCTGTAGTGCAGCTTGGTTTAGGGTTTGTGTGATTTGAGGCTAGGAGCAGCGCACTAGGCTAGGCCTTAACTCTGAGAAACACCTGACAAAAAGAGCTGAGCGCCGCTTCGCGTGTTGACTCTTGTTTTGTCGCATGTCCCGGTTTGGCTTGAAGGAGTGAGCAGGATTCTAACGGATATGCAAGGCTCTACCCAAAAGCGTCGGCTCGCATCAGGTATGCACGGCCAGGCCGACCCAGGCTTCATCAATGGTGAACATCCGCAAAAGTCCTAGCAGCTCAGACGAAGGAGCGAGGCATCATTTCCCAAGTGTAATGCGCTGTATCGCATCACCTTGAGGCGAATGAGCGCTGAACGCAAAGGTGACAGGCTTCTGAGCTCCCAAGTGAAGCCTCCTTCAGAAGCGCTGTCATCAATTCCACTTGGATGCTGCGGAGCGGCGAAGTGATGCTTCTCGCGCGTTGGTACTTGTCAGCGGGCACTCTCACAGCCAAACTACCAACGTGACATGCTACTTCGGAATGCAATGCCTTGCTACAAACAAAAACAAATTTGCTGTCTGGCTGGCAAACCCGCCATCTTCAAGAAGCTAATCTCTGTCGGCCGTGTTGAAATGGAAAACATTTGTTTCGTGCACCGATACAGAACGACTTTGCTAAACGTATTCAGGACATTTGATGTGCTATCAAGGTCAATCTTCTGCTGGAAGAAATGTTTCAAGGGGCCAAGTTGCACAAATTACCAATCATAATCCTCCCGAGACAGCGTTGAAACCAATATGACCGTCGTGGCTCTGACCAAAGTGTTAGTAACATCTGTCGTGTGGAGGCGAATCTGAAATCAACCGGATTTTAAAAAATGATATCTGGGACAACAATCGCACAGGTGCATTGTGCATGTAGCTGCCTCATCTTGGCTGAGCAAGGTGACCCCTTTCCTAGAGTGAAGGGTGGGTCGCGGCATGTCGCCGTGCCGTTGCTATGTAAAAAACACTTTTTAGGCAGGCTCACCGAACGTGGGCGCAGCATCGTGTTCCCGATAGCTGGATCGCCTTCTCGAAATCGGCCAGTGGCTGCGTGGAATCTGACAGACCCCAATGCAATGATGGGCAGTGACCGCATGCAGTGGTCTTGCTTGGTGCATGGCAGCAACATCGCTGAGGTTGCAAAGCCAACAATGCGGCTGTCGATTTTTGCCGGCACAATGTGGGCCAGTTCACGCGCAAGGGCCAACCTTGTACGATACGCACTGGGCGGGGCCACAACCATTTCCAGGAAGGTAGGCCTTTGTTCAACTGCAGTCTGTGTCAGAGCCTGGTCGGTCTTGATCATCAAACGTCTCACTTGGCTGATGAGTCCCGCTTCATAGCTGCCTGGTGGTTCCAAGGTTGCCCATCCGGAGTAAACAGAAGAAAGTTGGAATGCCTGCGCAGGTCTCGCAGGTCTCGCAGGTCTCGCAGGTCTCGCAGGTCTCGCAGGTCTCGCAGGTCTCGCAGGTCTCGCAGGTCTTGCAGAGGACTCGCAGAGAGGTGTCTGTGGGTCTCGCTGAGGGTGTGACAGTAGGATTTGGTCCGGCAAGAACCAGAACCCCTCTGGGTTGGGTTCTCGTTTAGTTGTCTAACCGCGAGGCTGGCTGGGGGGTTGCCGAGCTTTGGAGGTGACGGAGGGTGCTGGTGGGAAAAAACAAATGCATGGGGAACCATCCATGAATGCAGGAATGCATTACATTTGTTGGCAGCAACGCAATATACACATGTTTTTGTCTTTTCGACATATGCAAGTATTTTGGTAGCAGCGCTGTTGGTTGAATCTTAGAACGTGAAGGCGTTTGCTACTGATGGGATGCACGGCCAAGGAGTTTGAGTTAGCCACCTGCAACAAGACGGTGCCAGATAGTGCAGTGTTGAGCATCATCCACAGTCCCAACAAAGCTGTGAATGCATGGCTGTGGGTATTTGTGCTTTCCTCTAAGGGTTGAACACCGTTACGTTGGCATTGCTCTTTTTGCCTTTTCCTATCTTCTTCTTCCTCAACGAACGCATTGTTTGTTTTGTTTGCGGGCTTGTGCAGGTTTCAGAGCTCGCCGCTTGACGATGTCCTATTTCTTAGTGTTTGTGCAGGTTTCAGAGCTCTAAACTGTAAAACGTATCTTATTTTTCAATGGTTTTACCGTGCGTACTCAAAAACCATTGTTTAAGTCTGTGTTTTCAAACAGAACCACACTTGAATTCGAGAACGGAATCCGTTTTCGACTTATTGCCTTTCAATCCTCAAAACACGAAACACCCTTGTTGCAGGCAGATTGGATAAGAACAAGGAGGCAATTCAGATTGCATTTGTCGCATGCCATCCATATTCGACGTCTCAAGTTTGTTTGGTTGACGTTATTTGACCTGCTGTTTGTCTCAAGGCCAGCCGAGATAGCGCTGTTTGTCGGCGTAGTTTCAAGTTTCACGTCCGGCTGTAATGAGTGATGGTTGCTCGGTCCTCCAGTGGTGCGGCCTGCATGTGGGTTTTGAAGAGCTCTGATTTCTTGCGTTTGGAGCTTTTGCCTGGGTCTAGCAAGCTTTTGGCATTTTTGTTTTGCTTGCTGTTTGTTTATCAAGCTTGCCAAACGAGTATGCTGTCAGCCTGAGGTAAACATGCCGAGCCATGAGGAACTGCGACGAATGGGCTTACTCGTTCAGTGGCAGACAGGATTCTTTTGTATTTTCGTATCTCACCAATGGCTGGGACTCAACCATCCAGATCCTAGAGGTGAGCAACTCCCCGTGCTTCAGGAAGCTTTGCGGAATCTTCTTGCTGGTAGCAAGTTGTCGGTGGATGCAGTGTCAGAGCTTTTCGGCCACATGATTAGCATCAAAGCAGAGGACTTGCGCCTCCAAGAGTCTTATGTATGGATGGATTGGTTCAGCATTCCGCAGGACAAACTCCAACCTGCGCAGTTTTCTGCTGTGGATGATGGGCATGAGCCCCTTGGAAGCTCCGAGGATGAATCTGCTCCCAGTATGCAACACACCACCTCCCAGCAGTGTTACATAAGCAAAATCCCCGTGTTTGTCGAGCTGTGTAACATGTTTGTGGTGCTGGTCCCACACGTTCGCCACACTGACACTGGAGCGACCTGTAACTATGGCAGTTGGCTTTCCAGGGCGTGGTGCAGATTGGAGCTGTGGTGCAAGATGCTAGCGCAGAATGCGAGCATCCCAGTTGTTGTGGTCACAGCTCCTGATCAGTTGGAGTTTGCAGTGCCGTCGCATTGGATCGACCGTCCACCTCATGAAGGAGAGTTCACTTTCGAGGCCGATCGGGACCGAATAAGCTTTATTATGAAGAAGCTGCTCAAGCGCAAGCTACAATCACTGGAAGATTCTGATAATTTGAATACATTACGATACTTTGTCGCTAGATATAACACCTTGCTTGGCAAGCCCTGTCCCCAACGGACTCTTTCGAGCTTCCTTGCCGACTTCCGGTTCGAGTCCTTGAAGTGCGCTAAGACGGTGCACGGCATGTCTCCAATGGCATGCGCGGTTCTTTCTGGCGATGCAGCGCTGATATCCGTTCTTTGTGATGCAGGTTGTGACGTGGACAGGCCGGGAGGGAGCTACGAAAGACACTGGGAGCTGGGGGTTCAAACGAAAGCATGCAGGAGAGAGAAGTGCACGAAATCATAGAAATCATGAGCGTACAACGCATTGATGGTTGAATTTGGGGATGTAGGCAGCTTTACTCTTTGATGCCCTACGATATGATGCAATTGTTTGCATTTGCAAATTCAAGACATTCTGGGAGCAAACAGCTCACATCAACTGATGTTTTTGGACAGGCCCATTGAGACTCTTCATGATTTGGCTGTGAACACCACTGGCACTCCACTAGTGCTGGCAGTTTCTCAAGGGTGGCGGCACGAGCCGGTTTTAACAGCCCTCCTGGAGCACGGCGCCGATGCCAATGCTGTGAATGACTGGAGTGGCCTGACTTGAAGTATGTTTCGGTTGTTCCATGTCTGTTTTGTCGAAGGGGCTCGCATTTTGTATGTTTCTTCTTGTTTATAGCCTTGTTTCAGAGGCCTTCACGGCCTCTTGCAGCTGAGGCTACCCTGTGCTTGGCTATTGCAAGACGGCTCGCAGTGTGGAACTTTTGGTTCAGCACCAAGCAGATGTGAACAAGCAGACTGCTCCGGCATTCATTCCACCTCTATCACTGGCCTGCTTCAATTGTGCGGCGCCAGAGGTCATAGCAATGTTACTCAAGCATGGCGCACATGCAAACCCGGTGCGGAGGGGCACAGCTGGCATCTATCCACTTGCAAATTTGGCGGTCTATGCATCTGTGAATCCTAAGAGCTTGACTGTGGCAGACCTTCTCCTAGATGCCAAGGCAGATGTAAACATGCAGTATGATTCCTCACATGGCATCTTCCGAGTACTGGAGCTAGTGAGTCGGATTCGGGTCATGTTCGGCTCCACATCCCCCATGGCGCACCTCATGGCCGAGTGGACTACAACCCCCTTGGGCTATGCTTCTTTTTTTGGCAATGACGAGATGGTGGACTTCCTTCTCAAAGCCAGAGCGGATCCTGAGATTCCCAACGCCCGAGGGAGAACGCCAATTCAACTTGCCCGCTCTCAGAGGGTTTTGAGTGTGTTCTCTCAAGAGCCAAGATGAGTGAGGCAACAGGGAGGAAAGTGTGCAGGGGAACAGCCGCCTGCCCTCTAAAAGCAGTTTCCAATTCGTTGTGTACCAGGGTCACTGGTGCTCTGCGGTTGCTTTGCGTCAGCCGCCATTGGCTGAGTGCACAGTTTCTGTGCCCTGTATGAATGGTACTCTTTGAGCTGGCACGCTGCAAGCTTTGTGGCTCTTCGCGATTTTGAGCCATGAGCCTTTTCTTGAGCCAGGATAAAGAAGGCCCATCTTGCAGCGATCCCGAGGCCAAAGGGCTCTGGTGACTCGTTTCCTTTTAGCAAGGAGAGCAGGGTGTCAAGGCACAAGGACCTTCTGCTTTGCTGAGCTTAGCGCACTCTTTCTTGCAGCTCTTGCAGATTTGGAACGAGGTGCGGAGAAGAGGTTGCGCACGCCAGCATGTAGTGTGCGCGGGGCTTTGTACATGGTGGTGTGTATATTTGCACTCAGCCTCTTCATTTCTATGGATCACCACTGAGCAAACTAATGTTTCTTGGTGGGCGGGTGAGCGTTTTTGCACACCTTCGGAGCACTTAGCAAACAGTGCCAGCTCTTCTCATGCGCAGCTTGAGGCTCAGATGCTATGATACAAGCATCCCGCAGCATGCATGGCTATTCACCCATGTTCGATGATGCAGACTTGGCAGTTAGCAGTTTTCCACGGACCCAGCAGTTCAGAACCATTTGCACCTTGTCCCTCCACTTGCAGAACTTAGAAGTTGCTGGCCAAACAGCATTGTTTGTTGGCCGGACCGGTGCTCAGCGAGGCCTTTCAGCTTGTGAATCAGTCAGCTTTTTGCTGAATCTGCTGCAGGCAGATGCCTCCCAACGGGAAGTCTTCCCCGGAGGGGCAAGTCTGGTCAGGTGATGGGAAAACGCAGGACATGGGTTCTCACGGGATCGATGGGTCTTCAGAAGAACTGATCATGTCAGCACCCCTCTGCCCCCTGTTTTTGAAATATGGAATGGCGGTTGGGGACTCTTCTTGCAGTCTTGCAGTCTTGCATAATCTTCGCGCACCCCGTTTCAAGGCATGTTGCGACCTAACTTTTTTCTCTTCTTTCCAATGGATGAGACACACAGAAACTGAGAAGGAAACGGAGGACAAAGTCACAATTCAAGGGAAACCACACATGTAAGGGAAGGAGTCCGGAGAAAACCAAACATGTTTACAGCCACGCATGGCAAGGGTCGGATCCCTGCCATGCTTACACTTATCAGCCTGCTTTCCTTCTTGGCGACATGTTTTGGCGCCTCGTAGTTCTTGGCTCCTCGGTGATGCTCGCGTCCAGGCTTTGTTGCACCGTACGAGCTGAGAGGGCGGTGCAACGGGAACAAATACTGTGCATTGCACACCTGAACGCAAAACGAAAAGCCGAAGGAAGAGATATCAACAGGAAGACGGTTCCCATACGGAAAGATCAGACTCCGCTGACCGTCCTTGATCTTGTTTGTTCGATTGACGTTCTGCATTAGTTCGATCTTGTGTTGCCACTACTACTGTATTGCTGAAATCCATTTTAGTGTTGGGTGGAGGAGCGCAAATGAGAAAATAATGGCTGTCATCTACTCGTTGTGTCTTAGCAAAGAGAACACGTAGAACAAACACGCGAGTCACACTATTCTCGGAGGGTCACTTCCTGTTGCCGCAGTGACCTTAAGTTGGATTTGCCATCACTAAATGGACCCTCTTGAGTTTTTTCTTTTAAATTATCATCCTTCAGAATGTTGTTTGTTTCCTAGAACGATCTTCGCGTACAAGGCTGAATCTATTATAATAGACTTTTTGTGGTGGTTGTGTGTTTCTTCTCTCTCGCCTCCCACATATTTGCAAAACGATCACCGCAACGTCAGCGACGCGGGCCGCCGTCACCTTTCTTCACATGCCGCTTCGGTTTGCCGCCTTCAAGACTTCGGAAACTTCAAGCCAAAGGTCCACTGCAGCATTGTATCTGAATTGAAACATGTACGTCCACTGCCCACACGCGGGTTCAGCAGGCCAGATTTAGCACTTTTAGTGCTTGGCTGGCTGAGCATGACATTTCTACACATCCCCCAGCATCTATCCAGCAGCTGCGCTCCAGCATCAGTGGCTCTTTGGCCTGCGCCTGATTGATTAGGCGACTAAACTGAGTCTGTGCCTCACTTCATGACAGTCGATGCCTGCAAGTCTCCACTCGCGGCACCCGTCCGCGAAAAGGACCCTGAGGGGTCCACGAGCAGCCAAGAGATTGCATTCCTTGCGTATCAGAGAACGGAACACGTGCAGTGTCTGACTGCATGGCTTGCGCTTCACATGTTTTTCTTTTGAGGAAATGCTGCAACTTTCAGACAAGGCTTGGAACAAAATCGCTTTTGTTTTGGAGCATGTTCACAACAGGAAAACATCTGGAAGTGCTGCAGCCGAAGCGCAGTCACGTCCAGATTCGACTCCGTTGGACGGGAGCCAGGGCTCAGCAGCTTGCAAGCCAGCTGCACGGACGTAGGACAGGCAGTAGCTCGGAACCGAGGTAGTCCCGTGCGCACCCTTCCATTCTTGGACTTGCGGCGACGCGCCCGGCGCCCGCGACATGACAGAGCAAAAAAATGGATAAGCGCTTTACATCGCTGGTGTCAAAACAAAAAGGACCTGCGAGCGCCAAGCCTACACAAACACCGGCGCACTGCGAGCTGCGCGCGGCTTGCGGTACACGCGACCTACCTCTGGCGGAAAATAAAACTCCGAGTCAAGCGCCCCCCACTGCACAGGTTGTTGTACAGCGGCGCAGCGCAAGAATGTGAGTGAAGGAACGAGAAACATGAACAATTGAAGAATTCTTTTACGTGGCTAACGTCGCCGTGAGCAAAAACAAGGAGCAAGCATAAGAAGAGGGAAAGAGAAGTAGGCAAAGACAACAAAAGGGATAAATGCAAGAGGAACAGGAAAAAGGAACATGTTTGAGAAAGGACATTGTTCCTAGTCGAGGAAGTAAGGGAAAACCGGACGAATCAGGACTTGTGTTTGCCTGATTTACCCAGCTGACATCATTCATTACTTTAACACTTCTTGAAGCAATTCTGTCTTTCTTTCGTGAATAGATCTTGCTCTACTCTGATGCCTGCGCAAGGGGAAAAGGTCTTCAGGGTGCCCATCCCACAAAGTACAGCACCTGCCAAAGCCCCTCTGCCCAAAGCCCAGAAAAGAAGATCTTTGCATCCAAGGGATTTGAAGCTCTTGAGAGGACGAACTTATGCTGAAAGACGAATGCATTTTGGTGAATTACCTGGATGAGGCCGGAACCACCTTTCAAAGCATTTGCTGATTGCCCGAGAGCCGTGGCTTCCTGGATATGCCACGAATACGGAGGTCATTGGGCACAACAACAAGTACAACTGCCACAAGTTCGCACCTGGGCAACCACGCGGTCTGCTGCCCAATCCTTGGATCTGACCGCGCAACTTATGGCTGACGAACGGTTGCGCCTGGGATGGCAGAGTCCTTTCATGCCGAGAAGACGGGACACAGCTCGTGCGGCGAAAGACACCGAACACAGCCTCGCAGGTGCCGCATGTGCCTTGCAGTTGCGGGGAGGAACAGCCTGATGTTTGAGGCATCGCGCCTTCTCCGTCCTGTTGTTTGACCAGGAGAATCGCTTGCTGTTGGGGCCTTGGTCAGCCTACACTTTTCTGTGCATTGATTTGACAGGTTGTGAGCATGTGCGTACGCCGCTCGCACGACCAAGGTTGCAGCAACGGGCCAAGTGCAAGATCACGTTTCCACTTGTTTGGACAAATACTTGTCCGGAACCCAGTGCAGACACGAGTCGCAATCATCCCCCATTTCTTTTTTGGGAGGCGAGGCAAGTCATCCAGCAGATCATTTCTTGGAGTTTTTGCTTTCTTGCTTTCACCCTTACAGACATACTCACACACCCACACATACACACTCACGCAAACACACAGACAAGCAAGCAAGCAGACAAGCAAGCAAGCAGACAATTACATACACACGCGAATGCACAAACAAACGATCAGATGAACAAAACAAGCAAGCGCAGGCGAGCAAGCAAGCAAGCAAGCAAGCAAGCAAGCAAGCAAGCAAGCAAGCAAGCAAGCAAGCAAACAAACAAGCCAGGCGAGCAAGCAAGCAAGCAAGCAGGCGAGCAAGCCAGGCGAGCAAGCAAGCAAGCAGGCGAGCAAGCCAGGCGAGCAAGCAAGCAAGCAGGCGAGCAAGCCAGGCGAGCAAGCAAGCAAGCAGGCGAGCAAACAAGCGAGCGAGAAAAACAACTTGCACATGCACGCACACCGACATGCACAGAGAGAACCAGGCATACACACAGACAGACACAGACCCACACTCAGGTTGCAGCCATCCCTTGTATGGCATGAAGCCCTGCGAAGTGGATGGGCCGCTTCCTCAGCATCCATGTTTGTGCTGCTTCACATTTGTAAGGTAGTTCTTGATCGAATGGCCACACTGGTCAAAATCCTTGGTCTAGCAACCCAAACCAGGGCATCTGAGGAAGAACCGTTATGCGCCCTCCTGGGTATTTTATGTCCGCTCCGATTCCCTTTGGTGAGGCCCGTGGCTGTGGCAGCCGGCGACCCTCGCGGTGTGAAGGCTGCCGAGCTATCCATTTTTTGGGCAAGCTGAAGACCCACGGAGCCAACTCGAGCCAACCTGAAGCCGTTTGGGAGGCTGCCGCTGTGCGGAAGCTTGGCCATGAGCTGGGCATCCCGGCAGTGGCGGCCTGAGCTATGTGGTTGAGATTGTGGCGCGGTCCTGATGGTAACTCGTCAGCTACAGGAAGCAAGTTTTTGATATTGTTTTAGGAAGAGCTGGAAGCTGCGCGCTTCAAGTTCCTCACCCGCAGGGGCCACAAAGATGGCACAGGATTGTGTGACGTTTCGAAACGAACCAATCGATAAAGTCTGGCACGCCACATCTGGAAAGGTGTGCACTACTGGGCCATTGATGTTTGCACCTATGGCTCCGAGGCCTGGCATGTCTTCAGGGTGTGGCTGGAGTTGATATGCTGGTTAGGCTGTATGGGGCGAGCACGAGATCGATCACATCTTGCCCGGATACCCGGTTTGTGAAGTGCTGACCGAAAGTCACAGCAGTTTGCGGGGTCTTTCTGCTTTTCGCCAGGCTGTACCGCTTAAAGCCGGGCGAGAAGCTCACACTGAAGCCCAACCCAGAGGAAGTGGAGGCTTGTGACTTGGCGACTCACAGTTCGTTGTCGACTCCTTGCGATTTTGTGGAGGCGACGCGCTGGCTTGGAAGAGAGGAGCTGATTGAGGACAGGACCCATGTGGGCTGTTGAGGGGGTGGTGGTGATGGTGGTGGCGGAGGCGGCGGCGGTGGCGGCGGCGGTGGTGGTGGTGGTGGTGGTGCTGGTGCTGGTGCTTCTGCTTCTGCAGCTGGTGGTGGTGGCAGTTGTGTAGCTTGGTTTGTGCCGCTGCTGCTGCTGCTGCTGCTGCTGCTGCTGCTGCTGCTGCTGCTGCTGCTGCTGCTGCTGCTTGCGGCATGAACGGGAGATATTGACACAGCATTTTCACAGCATTTGCTTTGTCTTTGGCGGCATGTGGGGGTTTGTTTGATATGTGCAAATTTGATTAAGGTTGGATACAAGGTTGAGGCTTGGCATGTCAAGTTGTCGCGTATTCGCTCGTCAGGCCATGAAGGGGGCAGGTGACATGCCGCTGTGGTCGCCTTGGCCTCTCGGCTCAACGTCGCGTTTCGGCCTGCCCTGTCCATTTCAAGCAGGTTGAGCTTCAGCCAGCTACCAGTTCCGAGGTTCCGAATCATCACCGAGAGGTTGCTGGATGCGTGGTGGAAGGCTTCGTGCAGATCCCCACATGACAAACACTGGGTCTTACGTTCAGGATTTGGAGGCTGCATTGTCCACGGACAAGTCCGAAGCTCAAGTTGAATTCCACGTCTTCTGGGGCAGTGGCAGGGTAGATTGCTGTTGCGCTTGAGGTATGTGGATGTGGCCTCGATCCATCGTTTCGACACTGCCCCGGACCGGGCCCACGTGAAAGGCATGTTTCGTTCAGTCTGCTTTCGTGAGCAGTTTTCGGAGTCGCCCACAAGATGTGCTGGTGGAGCGAACCGAAAGGTTCATCAGCCAGCATGCTGACCACTCAACCTGCCGTGAGGAGTTCCATGGGGGCCTAGGCAAGGCCAAGCCCTTCCTGGATGGCGTTGCCAAGGCGTGCGCATCTGACCCGGGTTGAAGCCTCCAAGATGTTATCGGCAGATGTAGTCATGGATCCCTCTGCTTTGGCTCAAATTGCTGCTGTGAGGCATCCTGGCATTGGATGCTTGTTTTGTTCTGCCATGCATCAGCTGGGGTATGTGATCCATGATTCGCTTGCGGGCACCGCCGTGTTGGAGAGGATGTTGATCCCAGCTCAAGTATTTTGTAGGGAAGCGACATATCCGCTACCTGCCAGGCAGAGGCAGCAGCTCTTAAGGAAGGTGGCGAGGCACGACCGTTTGGCGTTGGTGGCAGACGAAGTTACCGATGAGTGGTCAGGAGGCTCGCCGGAAAGTGGCGCTGGACGCCGAACACGAAGATCGTTCTGGCCCAAGCTTGACTCCCTGAGCAACCTTCAGACAAGCAAGACTGCGTTGTGCCGACTGTTCACGATCCTCACTACGGCCAGTCCAAGGTGTTATTGGCTTTGTTGGTAGAGGACAAGCTGAAGTGGGTTCGTCAGCAGGCAAGATGTGTGACAGTTGGACAGATAAGAGCAGGCTGTCCATCTTTCTTTCTGCACTGTGTTCAGCGTTCAAGCACCGTACGGGTCATTTCAGAATTTCAGACCCGCGCACACTGGATTCAGCTTGACCAGGTGATGTGAAGCAGGGAGGCTATGGAAAGGCCTTATGCTGAATACCATGTCGCGTGCGTGACTGTTGAGCTCCAGATGTGTCAATGTATGACGGCCAGTTTAGTTGTTCCTATATTGCAAATGTGTTCATTAATATCCGGCTTTTGCCTTTTGCGGCAGCTAAACCAACAACAGTAAATGCTCCACCCAAACAAGCCCAACACCCTTTTCTATCAATCATAAACCAGCCCAACAAACCATGACCACTGCGCCACTAACCCCACCATGAGCTCACCTGAATAAACCCAACACCAGCCCAAGCTAACCTAAACCCGCCCCGAACCCCACCCAAACTCATCAGAGCACCATCCTTGAACAACCCTTACCCGAAGCTAAAATCCATGCCCAACCAACCCTCAACCCAGGTCAAACGGACGCTACATCAACCCCAATCCCACGAAACCCTCAAGACCTCGCATTGGAGACTACAACAGCACCGCCAAACAGGCACCGACAGCAACCACCACACCTTTGAGCACATCAAACCGCACCCTGACCCGCATTGCCAAACGAACACCGCCAGCAACTGCCACCGCACCTTGAGCACATCAAACAACATCCTCACCCTGGCCAGCACCCTCACAGCAACGCCAAACAAGCACTGCCAGCAACTATCACAGCAGCCTGACTGCATCGCCAAGCAAGCACAGCATCCTGACCAGCACCCACAGGAGCGCCCTGCCTGCATCACCAAACCTTGAGTACGCGAAGCAGCACCCTGACCATCACCATACAAGTACCACGAGCAATCACCGCACCACAGCACCTTGAGCACATCAAACGGCACCTGACGAGCACCGCCAGCAGTAGCAACCACCACAGCACACACACACACACACAAACAGCACCCAGCATCCACGATAACACCCTGAGAGCATTGCAAAAAGGCACTGCCAGCAACACCACAGCACCTTGAGCGCACCCCAAACAGCACCCTGACCAGCACCTGCAGCACCAACCTGGCCGGAACTCGCAATCCCCTCTTAAGATGTAGACACCCTTATTGCATTTAGCCACCTGGGCAATTATACATGCTTTTGCAGTGAATTTCATGAACAAACCACCTGTTTGATTCCTGAGCAAAGCACGATTAATTCAACATCTATTTTGGGCGGGTTCGTCCGACAAGCGTTTCCGCTTGTGCCACTGAGAGGTGCCTACGCACAAGAACCCCAAGCTTGACCAGCTTCTGAGGCTGCGATCTCGTTGGATGCATAGGTCCAGCTCTGCGTTTGTGCGTGTTTTTTCAAACAAGGTACTGGCATGGTTGGTGTTTCTGGGTTTCAAAAGAGGGTGGGCCGAGACGACATTTACCCTCTTGAAGGCATTGTCTTGCATTTTTCCTTGTGTGCAGGCCCTTGGAGATCATCTCTGCTCTGCGGCTGAAGCAATGGACTTGGCCGACTCATTGCCGGCGGTTGCAATAAAGCAAAGAATAAAGGAGGTGGCTGATTTGCCACGAGTGCCTTTTCACACTGCTTGCAGGTGCACAGGGCTCTTGGAGAACAACCTGAAGGCAGGTGGATGGCTGACACTCCCTAGGCAAGCTATTCTTCTCATATTTGTGCATGAATGTACTGTCACCAATCGATTGATGTTTACCTTGTCCACGCATGAGCTTTTTCCCGTTGCTGGGTGGGACCCGGCAGGGCCAGTGCGATGTTGACGTCGAGTTCTGTGATGATATGCTCGGCAAGGTTGGCAGGGCTTGAGCTTGGCATGAAGTGGCTCTTGCTAGCGATCCTCGAACGAGACCTCTCGCAGGTTTCTAGGTCATTTGCAGCCGTGATCCGGCAGCTGCCTACACAGCTGGGTGGGCGCCCAAGGTGGTTAGATTGTGACAGCCGGGAGGGAACCACTTGCACAGAGGTGCAATTTAGGTGTGTCCAGGGAGAACCATAGCTCTGCGTTCCAGAGGCAAAAGGCAGGACTGCCGCCTTCTAAACTATGACAGCAAAAGCCGAAATCAACTCGCTGAAGACACTACAAACCATACCTGGGGTCAAGAATGTCGCTGTAGGACGGCATCTTGCTTTTGGAATGCACACGCAAGCAATAAATAAAGTAGGGCAAGTCCAACAAAAGTCCGCCAAGTACAACTTGGCACTGAAACGCAGCTGGGGAAAGGTGAATAGAGCAGGATTGACGCCTGGCATCCTAAAGTCTCAGGCTCCCACATACTCGGATGGAAAATGGACGAACCTCCTATTCGCGCCTGGGAGCGCACCCAAAGGTGGAGAAGGTCGTGTCTGGCAAGTCGACCCATGGCGAATGGCAGCAACACAAAGGCACAGAACTCGCAGAGCCGCACGTGCGTAGCTTTCAGAGGTGGCAGGTTAGAACGCTCAAGCTGCTCGGGCATTTTGAGCGAAGTAGAGGTCCTGTTCCACCCACACGCGAACATTGCCAGACAGGGGCACCTGCGGCGCCTGGAAAATCGAAGGGCGCATTGGCTGCTTGGGGCCTCACAGGACACTTCGAAACACACAGTGTCGCAGGGAAATGTTTCGCCGATTGCCCAAGGGGAGTTGCGGGGAACGGCGGTTCAGCAGTGAACCAAACTCTGGTCTGAAGCACAGGTCATTGCACGGACACGATAGGATGGCGCTTTGAGTGGCAAATGGCAACAGAGTAGCTTGAGGTTCAATTCCACTGAGGCATTGATATTTGTATTTTCTACTTGGTGCGCCGCCTGGATTTGCCTGGATTGACTATCCTTGCTGGCACAAATGCTGATAGCGGCAGCTGCAGAGCTTGATTTCTGGGGCACACGAAGGGATTGGCCAGGGACTCGCCAGGTTCTGCGAGCCCTGGATACAGTTGAAGATGATATGGAGGCCTACAAAGGCTGGGGGCTTCATGGCCGGACTTTTTGCTTGCCGGGTTTCTGGCCGGCTAAAGTATTTTGCGGGCGGGTTCCAGCCTTAGGTCGAGAAAGTGAGAAGCAGAAGGAACTGATCAGCTTTGGCGACAAAAGGCTCGTCTATTGCCCTTACCTCACGCACCCCAGGTCATCGAACCAGGTGGGGCCACTCAATCTTTCTGAGTGCCAGGCTGACGGATCCCAACTGCAGCATAAGAGGCGGCTGCAGAATGCTGAATATGCCAAGGTTGTCTGCGTCAACCTTTGCTTGCGCAGGCGTTGGCGCAGCAGACGAGCGCACGCTCATTGAGAACTTTGGCCGTGTGGTGTCCAACTTAGGTAAACACCATACATTCGCAAGCGCCATGTTGCCAGCCTTAGTGGCGATATGAAGGAGTGACCCTAGTGAAAGTAGTCGTGGTACTGTTTAACAGTTTCTTGCTCTACCAGTCATGTGCTGATGATGATAAAGAGCAGATGGTTGTGAGCGCGAGACTTGAGCACCCATCCCGGTCGCACACCTGCAGCAATGGTGCAGCACATGACATTGCGCACGACTTGGAGTTTGATGTGATTTTGTTTTAGTTGTCAGTTCAAGTCGGGTACTCGTAAGATGTTGTCAGGAACACATTGCAATCTCGAACATATGATCTTGTGGTCGGAAACCAATTGGTGAGCAGATAGGCAAGAAAGGTAGGTAGGGTAGAACATCTGCCCTGCTGCTGCCATGTGCCGCTATCATGATTGTCACTTGTGTTGCAGCCACGACATCCATTCCGTATGACACGAGAATGCTGAAGCCCTTGAGCACATCCAAAGCATCAAGCGCATCAGGTGCCCGAATCACTCCCGAATCAGCAGCCAATGTCTAAATATTTGTCAATCTGCATACCTATCCACCCACTTTGATTCTGACACAATGGCAGGACAAGTCACTGGGCGCAGATCATGTTGGGAGTGATGGTATGAACGACTTGTGTCGACCATGGTTGATGACCGTTGCTTGGACTGAGGCCAAGGTATTTGCCAAGTTGCCTGAAGGCCTGCTGACAATTGCCACCCCTTCGCAGTGCTGCCTTTGGCCAGGCAGCAGGGAGGTGATCAAGGACATCACAGACAAGATGGGCGCGGGCATGGCGGAGTATGCGCGGGAGCTCAGCCATGCTTTGCTCGTGTTTTGTTGGTCTTTTGTTTCGGCTGAAAGAAGAGGACGTGTTTCATGGGACCCCTGAGATCAGCTGTCTTTCCTGGGCACAGGTTTCCGCAGACCTGGCGCAGGGAACCGTGGATCAAGCTGCCTACAACCGCTGGCCCTGCTTGATTGCGGAGAAAGATGATTGCCTTCTCAAGCTTCGCATGTTTCCAGATGTCTTTGACAGGCTATTGCCACATGGTGGCCGGCCTTGTGGGCGAAGGCCTCACGAGGATCTTCGTGTCCAGCGGCTTGGAAACTTGGATCATTCTAAAGATGTTCAAAGGGCGGCAGAGCGCATAAACAAAATGTAGGTGCTTCTTTACATTTTTGCAGAAACTCCTGAACGAGGTTTTCTTTCTCTTTTGCTTGGCTGTCAAACGTTTGGCCCAAGGAGAGTGCAGACTTGGCAGGACAAGGCCTGCTGCATACAGCCATGGGGTCAACTGCGCCGGGTAAGCTACGAGGGTGTGCCGGAAGGGATCCCCAAATTCGCGGGCGGAGTTTGGTTTGACACCAACAAGACCCATCCAGCTGCTTCAGGTGAGCTTGTCTGGCCCTTTTGTGTCCATGCCTCGGATCGGTTTGTATTTGGTCCATGCATTTCTTCAAGTCACCACCAGGCTGATCCAAAGGAGCCTTCAAATCTGGGCCATGGCCTCGGAGAGACCCCTCCCATACCCTCAGCTCACAGCTTGTGCTTTCTTGGTCTGGCTTCCACTTTCGGGCTCCGGCTTTGTGAACATGAGAGGCAGTGCTGAATCAACCTTCATATCCCGGCAGTCTCAGCAAATGGCACAAGGCCTGGCAAACTCCATGGGCCTCTTCCTGCAGAAGACCAACATCATCCGCGACTACCTGGAGGATTATGCCCCACGCTCAGCATGGTTGCAGCGTGTGGGACTAAAATGGACTCGAGGTAGATGGCCGAGCTTTCTGGCCCCAGTCGGTGCGCCGCCTGGAATTTTGCCAGCAAGAAAATCAATGACCTCTGACGCAAGGGCTGCGCAGTGCAAGGGGCATCACTGATCCAAGTGCAGGTCTGGAAGACCTATGCCTGCTCCAGTGATCTTGGCGAGTTCGCATTGCCAACCGCTCATGGAGCTGGACAGCATAGCTTGGTCACACAAGCTGTGCATGTGGCACGGTACCCATAGTCCTTGTCAGTCAGTTTGGTTTACCAGTGACAGTACCCCGGAGTTTGGAACGCTGTGATTGGGCCATGAGTCCACGGCAGGACTGGTCTTGCCAGTGAAGGCACGGGGCACAGGGGAGTGATGTCGTGGCTTTAGCAATTTGGGTTTAGTGCGAGCAGCAAAATCGGCGCATGCTAGTCCTTTGTATGGCGGCACCGCTCTGCCAGCTAGCCGACCCGCATATCGAAATCATACAGCGGGGTTGAGACACTTTTTGGCCATTCGAGGTGCTCCAGGCTGAGAGTTCTTCCCCCTTCCCAGGGTTGCGTTGCCAGGTTACACTGGGTTTAAGATAACGCAAAGCGAATTCAGTGGATCATCCCCGGGCGGTATGGGGTACGAGTCCCGACAACCCTGTTCCGGGCCTTCCTGGCCGCTGAGTGGGTCGCAACATGCAGCTGAGTGATGCCGCTTTCGCTTTAGAACCTTAGAACCCCTTTCGCTTTCGCTTCGCAGCCTCCCTCCCCTCCCTCCCCTCCCTCCCAACTCCCGTGCCAGGCGGGTGGGGAGATCCTGGCAAAAGGTGTCGGTGTGCAGGCGCCGTGCCGATGCAAGCTTGCTCTTCTAACTCGTGTTATATCTTTTGTGAACGCGCAGAAGGCGTGTCACTTGTTCTGTAAATGCCGGACGTAGGCACTCATGTGCCTCAACCACTTGGTGGCAGACGCACTGGAGCTGGTTCCAGATTCCCTGGAGTGCCCCGGGTGGCATGGAGCTTCTGGTAGGTAGGAGTCCGGTGCGTTGAATGTTGATGGAGGCTTGGTCAACAATTCCAGTTTCACCACAAAGAAAAGAGACTCAATCATTTTGCCGTGTCCTCTTGAAACAAGTAATTTTGGCAGTGGCTCACATGTCTGATAAAGAAATTTGGAGTCACATCAGCAAAGCACTTTTCGACAGGTACCTGGAGAGAGTGCTCGGCTCGGATGCAGAGGTCACGCAAGACCAGGTAAAACGGGTGTGACAGATGTTGCCGAAGCTTAGGTGCGGACCCCACCCATCTACCGCTTTTGCGCCATTCCGCAGGCGGAATCCCCGCTGACTCTTGCAATGGCGCTGTCAGTGTGGTTCAGATCTGCTCTCTGCCGTGCAGATGTCATGGCGTAAGGCGTGGGCATGAGCACATGAGGTCATGGCCATCGCCACTTTGGCGGTGTGCTTTGACAACCCCCAGGTGTCCGGTGCTCGGCCGGAAAAGAAATGAAGGGAAAGGACACGGTTTGCAGGGCACGTTTGGTCAAGACGCTGCTCAATACCCGGAAACTGCAGAGGATCTTTCACATGGGCAGTTTGAGTTTACATCGGTTGGCTGCACCGATTCGTATCTGCCCAGGGGTGCTTGAAGAACAGGTCCAAGCACAATAGACCTTGGGCATGAGTGCAGTCTCACTACAGCTTGTTTTTTGCCCAAGGCTTAAGGGAATGGCATGGCACCTGGCGCACGTTGGCAAAGCTTGCATCTCAGGTTCACGGGCGTCGTGAAGATCCGAAAAGGGCTCACAGCACGTCTGATAGTGGCATGCTGTGACGGCCCTGATGCCGTACAGCTCTGAGATGTGCGGCCACGTGGTATCAGTCATTTTAATATCTGGGTCCTGGCCCTGCAATGCCGGGGCGGCCTTCCTAATTTCAGCGCCCAGGTTCATTTCTGGTTCAGGCAGTTTGCTGAGGAGATCCTGTCGTCGGTTAGGCCGGACTCCAGATCAAACCGGCATTTTCTTGCGAACTGTGCAGTGAGGAGTGGGAAGTGTGTTGGAGCTGCTGGCCCCATTGGCGAGAGACTCGCCAAAAGTTGCGAGCGGATCATTGAGAGGACTGCGGTGTGCGTCAGCAGCGTTTGTTCTCAGTCTTGAAGTGCTGGCTGCGCGATGCTGCGAGCTGCTTGTGTTGGAATGTGGATTCCTGTCTGCGTTTGCAGATGCCTGCGCTCGCAATCATTCCACAGCAGAGCCTTGCCAAGAGGACGGACAAGCGGTCACAGACTTGGGCCAGCAAGCAGACGCAGGCGGTGCTTGCGAGAGAGCGTGAACGTCGTGCACAAAACCGTCACACTTTGGATCGAAAGAGTCTATATGTGGTTTTAGTTCAAGGAAATGGGTGATAGGGATGCTTGGCTTTTGCAAGCCTAGAGCGACTGCCGATCTGCTTTTGACTAACTTGTGAGAGGGGCTGGCAAGGCTTAGTTGTTCTTGCTTTTGCCTGCGGGAGCCGCTGGCAGAAGCGCCTGGCTTTGGGTGCTATGACGGCAGTGGCAGCACGGGCCCTAGTATCGGGAGAGAGCCCATGCCACCAAAATTGGAAAGAGCGAGAAACCGTATGGTGAATGACCTCGTGACAGCTGTCCAGAGTCGTTTTCTTTGATTACGTGTGGTCTGTTTTTCGTGCAAGTCAGACTTGGCGGCAAGGACCTCTGGCAATAGATAGCCACCTCATGTGAGTACCGAGACATGGGCGACTCACCAATTTTCCCATGTCCTGGAGGGGAAGCAAGTAATTCTGGCATGTACATGACGCACCCGCTTCAGCCAAACTTTTGCAACTCCAAAGGGTCCTGCTGGCATGCTTCTATGGTCTCTCGAGACATTTGCGGTTATAGCAAGGCAAACTGACATGCAGGGCTGTTCTTTCAGACTTCGCGTCCTTCGAATTGGGTTGATAGCCGACAACGCGTCGAAGAGAAACGGCTTCCAAGCGATACCCCTTTTCACCCCACGAGAAAGCCAGCGCTTCGCCTCATGTGAGGTGTCCACCATGTTTATGCGTGCCTCTGGGCAGAGCAGCTCAAGGCGCGTGGCTTTCGCGACTTGCTCTTGAAGCCATGAGTCATGGTCTGAGTCTAATTTGCGCGAGGTTATTTGGGAAGGGGGTGTGCCATTTTATGGCGCAAGAGGTGCCCATAGGCAGTCAGGCAGCTTGCAATTTTGCAGCAACTTGCGCGGGAGCTTGAATTTAAAGTGTTTTTCGCAGTTACCTCAGTGAAGGTGAGTCAAAACATTGGCCACTCTTTTTTGCAGCTACGAACCCCGGCTTGACCTCTCCGGTTGCGACTACGCTTCGATTATTTCTAAAGTTAGTATTCCAGGGTGACAAACCAGCCGTAGAACAAAAGTCAGCACGCAAATGGCCAGGAACACCCGGAACACCGCATAAACTTTGGAATCGCAAGAACGCCGATTTCCCAGCCCCTTCGCATATTCGCCCTGCTGCGCGCGCTTGTCTGCAAGGAGCCGATTTGGGGGGGGATCGTTTGGAAGTGTACACGCAGGCACCCCGACCTTCTAAAAGGCTTGATTAACCAGCCCAACGCTAGCCCGACATATAAGAACACACACATACTGGATGCGCCAAATTACCTGCTGGCTGAACTAGGCATGAAGATAATGAGCGCTGCGCGTTCCAAATTTGTCGAGCACCTGGGAAAGGGAGTTCTAAGGACAGACTAAGGTAGCGCTCGGTTTGCGCTAGACAGAATTTGCAGAATGTTGAATGGTTCTCGCGGCCTGTAAGTTGCACGCCTCATGCGACTCTACCAAATGTTCCATGATGCGCCGCGGCCTGCGATGGGGTCGCGGCTGCTGCTGCAAGTTGCAACATGTTGGCCCTCTTAGTGACCTCGCTCCAGGCAGCTTACGCAACATTCGGAAGGCATGCTTGCATGTCCACCGTGATGCCAATCACATTCGAATATCCGCTCTGAACATGGAGGACGCAAAATGCGAACGCAATAGATGGCGGCGCTCCCTCAAATTAGCGGGCTCAAGGGCAGCAACTCGCTCAGAAACAAGTTGGTATGATGATTTTGGGACTGTTGCGCGTCGCAAAGATTTGCAGCAGGGCACTCCAGGTGTTCTATCCTGCAACTTTCTTTGTGCTTCAGCTGGGCGCTCGCTACGCCATAGTCCGCATATCTGGTTGGAGAACTGCGAGAGCGGATTTTCCGGTTTAGGCCAAAGCGATGTTTGATAGGGATCGCGACAAATATGGCGCTATCAGCAAACTTCAGAGCAGCCAGCTAGCCAACGCGTGCCACTGGCAAACAAGTGAATGGCCAGTGGCCGCGAAAGCCTTCGCGTTAAATTACGCTCACCCGCGCTCGCAAACGGCTAGATGCTGAGATGGCAACTTACCCCGCCACGTATGGCGTGCTACAGTCCCATTTGCCATCCTTGAGCTCAAGTAGATGGCACACGTCTCTCTACGTCGGCTAGCAGGGAGAGTGACACATAATCACATCGGCTACTTGCGCCTCATTCTTTGCGCCGCAATACGCCAAGCTGATTGGATTGCGTGTTTGAATGCACTCCTTTTTCACAAGCCCGCTGAAGCTTATTGCTTATGCGTGGCTTCAACGCGCTTTCCTTGCACCTCTCTGCGAGCGCAGCTTCTAAAAAGAACCGAACGCGGCTAAACCTACCTTGCCACGAATTATCTATCAACCAGGACTTCCCAAGACTGAGCCTTGTTTAGGCAGATCCTTACGCTGAGCCAGCTCCAACAGTGCTTAGCGATAGCCTGGCGCAACGAACACACGTTGAGCGCGCTCGCGTGGCCCAGCCTGACCACATGGCTGATTTCCAAACAAGTAGGCCGCAAGCAGACCCGCAACTTTGTACGCAGGCACGCAACCACACACGTAGCACACAAACACACACACACACCACACACCACACACACACACACCTGTTTCTACATGTACACACATGCATATGACTGTGTAGATCTGTATTTTGTTTCTTAGGAACACATGCGCACAGAATGCGCTACGCGTGTGCACATGGGCTTGAAACAACTACACACACAACATCCGCAAACACGCGCGCAACACACGAGGCGCAGTGAAACTAGCGTAAACCGCAGAAAGTACGCGCGCAAATGAAAACGTTGCGCGTTGCAACGAGCGTTGCACTCGCCCGCATATATACACATGTTTCTTATAACACACGCACACACACAAACATACGAGCGTGAGTGCGTGCACCAGCAAAGCGCATTCGCACACAGGCACCATATGCACCATACACGCGGAGAACTAAAAGATGCATCAAACATGCACACAATCAAACACACAGCCCACACAACTAACACTTCCGCCTAACATGCGCGCACTACATACGACACGCACGTCCGCCACACAAGCAAACGCAAAGCACACCCAGACAGGCAAATTTAAGAAAATATACAGCGCACATATACAAGCAATGGCAAAGCAAACAATCATGTGTTTTCTCAAGTGCATGTCAACTTGGAAGCGATTGCCATACGAATACACACGCAAGCAAGATGCGTGCGAATGAATAGCAACTAATATACCCATGTCCAAATACATAACCTGCGTTCATAGAATGTACATACTTCGGGCGTATCATGCACACACACACGCGCAAATAAATGGCAAGCGCGCAAACACACAGACACCCAGAATGTCTGCAACATACAGCCGATACCTACAGCACACGCACACACATACCGCATTCAGGGGCAAGTGATGGGGCGAGATTTGCGCCTATTGTAATCTGCATATGCGGCCTCATGGGATCGTAAGCACTTAGACACATAGAAGCTTGTGCATTTGTAAAGCCACCGTCGGTTAGTTGCATGGACACCCGGTCCTTCAAAAGCGCAACAAGACACATACCGTACAATCACGAACGAATGCACATACAACACCCACTGGCGCTACACCTGCGCGCGCACACACACATACAAAGGAACACCCGAGCGCCACACGCACGGCGCAGTCTGATGACATTGACGCGTGTAATGCCTCCAGCCCATGATGCAGGAGAAACCTTCAAGCATGTGTTTTTTGGGGCGCTTTAGTCGATCAACCTCCGAAAGGTTACGCGGTAACGAAAACGGATCTAGCACGTTGCCCGCCCAAACAAACAGACGCACACACTTGCGCGCACGCACACACACACACACACATGCAGAGCTTTCAGGCAAACAAGCCTTCAATAAAGCTTGGCTCTGCAACGGGCACTTGCTAAGTCTACCAAGGCACAGGTTCGCAGCAGGTGAACTGTTTTGCTTGCCTACACTCAGAATGAAAATTGTTTTGATTGCGTCTCGACTCCCAGGGACAAACACAAGCAAACAGCATTGGTTTACAAGGTTTGCATTCTAGCCTAAGCTCTTCCCAATGTATTCCCAACACTGCGAAATTATAGAGCTTTTGCACGCAGCTTGCGACCCTTGTGCGCACGCAACGCTCCGCAAACCGCGAGCGGTTCAAAGAAGATATATAAAGCTCTGCTTTCCCACCTCTTGCGTCTAATGCAGCAGAACATGGCATATTGAACAGGGACCTTTCCATGCTAAGCATTGTACAAGGGCTTTGGTGCAGAGGCACATCAATAAGACAAGGACCGCAAGCAAAATACAAACCAGGCTGCAGAAACGGGAGGACGTAATGTTCATAGCAGGTGCCAAAAAATGACCACGGCTATATAAGTGGGAAAAACAAGACATGAATTCGGAAAGGAAGGTCGCGTGAAATCTTAAGTCCAGACTGGCGCCGAAACGGAAATGAGATGAAAACTGAGGTACTCAGAAATGAACATCATCAACAAGCGAGCTGTGACAACTCAAACGACCATGGGCTGCCGGCAAACAACGTGAAGCCTGTTCATGGACTGCTGGCCGCCAAACGGAAACCATATCTGGAAGTTTGCCCCCCCCCCCCGCCAGTTTTGCACGCCTCAAACCCAATAGAGCGAATTTGGCGACACATCGCCGCGCAATTTGCAAAGTGCGCAACTTCTGCATAACTTCTGCATAACTTCTGCATAACTTCTGCATAAGCTTCAAGCAGGGCTTGCGTAGGCTGCATAACTTCTGCATAATATGCAGAAGTGATCTTTTTTTTAGTAAGGGAACTTCTGCATATATGCAGAAGTCGGTTTTGGGCCATGTATATAGGCTGCATAAGAAAAAAACTTTATGCAGAAGATATGCAGAAGTTATGCAAAAGTTATGGAAAGCCGCGCGAAATGAGTAATGTGCAGTTTTTCACGTATGCCGTATACCTTAGAATGAGATTGAGGCTCGCGCAGAGTTGCAACTTGTTTGATGCTTGCCTTGAGTCGTTGATATGCCCTGGTCTCCGTGTCTACTGTGCTTGAGGTGCACAAGGGCGGAGGACATTTATCATGATAAACGCATGATGGCACAAAAAATAAGAAAAACTAGCCGTGTAGAAATATGCACTGGGGCAGCCATGGAGCTAATCTGGCGGGCGCAAATATTCCCAAAAGACCTTGAGAATTGCAACATTCCCAAAATTCCCAAAAAGTCTCAGCAACTATGTCTGGGATAGAAGTTCCAAAAAAACCAGCAGTAAATACAACATTCCCAAAAAGCCTCGAGTTTTTTGTGAATTTCCAAAAAAACACAAAAACAACCCGCAGTAAATGCAAGATTCCCAAAAAAACTCGTGAATTCCCAAAATTCACAAAACTCCCAAAATCTCAGCAACTATGTTAGGGATGGAAGTTCCCCAAAAAAAACGCAGCACATGCAACATTCCAAAAAAACCTCGAGTTTTTTTGTGATTTTCGAAAAGTCAAAAAAAACCCTCAGCAAATGCAAGATTCCCAGAAAACCTCGAGAATCCCCAAAATTCCCAAAGTCTCAGCAACTATGTCTGGGATGGAAGTTCCCAACAAATCCGCAGTAAATGCAAGATTCCCAAAACACCTCGAGAATCCTCCAAATTTCAAAAATTCCCAAAGTCTCAGCAACTATGTCTGGGATGAAAGTTCAAAAAAAACACGCAGTAAATACAACATTCCCAAAAAACCTCGATTTGTTGTGAATTTCCAAAAAAAACAAAAACACCTGCAGTAAATGCAAGATTCCAAAAAACTCGAGAATTGCCAAAATTCACAAAATTCCAAGAAAGTCTCAGCAACTATGTCTGGGATGGAAGTTCCAAAAAACACCAGCAGTAAATGCAACATGCCCAAAAGACCTCGATTTTTCGGGAATTTCCAAAACATCCCAAAAAACGTAAATGCAAGATTCCCAGAAAATCTCGTGAATTCCAAAAATTCACAAACATCCCAAAGTCTCAGCAACTATGTGTGGGATGGAAGTTCCAAAAACACCAGCAGTCATTGCAACATTCCCAAAGATCCTGGGATAATTAAAAAAACGGTTTCTTGAAAAATCAATCCCCGACATAGTTGCTCAGATTTTGGGATTTTTTGCAATCTTGCATTTATTGAGGTTTGTTTAGCATTTTTTGGAAAGCCCAAACAAACTCGAGGTTTTTTGGGAATCTTGCATTTACTGCGGTGTTTTGGAACTTCCATCCCAGCCATAGTTGCTGAGATTTTTGGAATTTTTGGAATTCTCGAGGTTTTTTGGGAATCTTGCATTTACTGGAGTTTTTTGTTACTTTTTCGAAATTCACAAACAAACTCGAGTTTTTTGGGAATGCTGTAGTTACTGCGTTTTTTTTTTAAACTTCGATCCCAGAAATAGTTGCTGAGACTTTGGGATTTTTTCAAATTTGGAGGATTCTCGAGGTTTTTTGGGAATCTTGCATTTACTGCGGTGTTTTGGAACTTCCATCCCAGACATAGTTGCTGAGATTTTTGGAATTTTGGGAATTCTCGAGGTTTTTTGGGAATCTTGCATTTACTGGAGTTTTTTGTTACTTTTTCGAAATTCACAAACAAACTCGAGTTTTTTGGGAATGCTGTAGTTACTGCGTTTTTTTTTTAAACTTCGATCCCAGAAATAGTTGCTGAGACTTTGGGATTTTTTCAAATTTGGAGGATTCTCGAGGTTTTTTGGGAATCTTGCATTTACTGCGGGTTGTATTGTGATTGTTTGGAAATTCCAAAAAAACTTCGTTTAGGAATGTTGTATTGACTGCGTTTTTTTGGGAACTTCCATTGCAGACATAGTTGCTGAGACTTTGTGAATTTTGGGAATTCTCGAGTTTTTTTGGGCATCTGGCATTTGGGACTTTTTTGGAAATTCCAAAAAAACTCGAGGTTTTTCGGGAATGTTGCAGAGACTGCGGGTTGTTTGGGAACTTCCATCCCAGACATAGTTGCTAAGACTTTGTGAATTTTGAGAGTTCTCGATGTTTTTTGGGAATCGTGCATGTACTGATGGTTTTGTGGATTTTTTGGAAACTCAACAAAAACAACTCGGTGTTTTGGGAATGTTGCATGTACTGCGGGTATTTTGGGAACTTCCATTCCAGACATAGTTGCTGAGACTTCTTGGGACTTTTTGGAATTTTGGGAATTCTCGAGGTGTTTTGGGAATCTTACATTTACTGATGTTTTTTTTGGTGAATTGTAAGGAAAGCCAAAACATAGAGGTTTTTGGGAATTTTGCAAGTCCCAACACAGAATCTATGAAGTGCATAATTTTGTAATTTTTCAAGGACATGGACAGACTCAGCGCCAGAGCGCTGCTTTCAGAAAACATGTTAGCAGCCAGAGTGCCACAAAGCCAGAAGGCGTCCTTTTCCACAGTTGCAACTCGCAAAGATGACGCATGAGTAGGAGCGCGTGTAGCAGACAGGTGCCCAAACAGCAAGGGCCTGCAACAGTATCTCAGATAGCACTGAGGTCACACACTTGTGCAACAGAGGTAGCCTGGGCATCCTGAGTCCAGGTGGGCAAGCAGCGGGAAACAAATCGCGAATAGATATAGTTCATAAGAAAGGCTAAACAGCGGTGTCAAGCAGCACGTTAAATTGTATGCAGAAAGCAATCATAGCTTCAGATTGTTTGCTGGTTGATCACATATCTGGACTGTAAGCAAGGCAAGCAGGAGAACAAACTGCTTTAGGGGGCCAAAAGGTAGAGGCACAACGACTCATGTTTCTGTCAAAGCAAACGTCATCTAGGCTTGGCGGATGTGTCCTTAATGGCAGGGCGCAAGTCGTGGCTTGAATTAGCTATCTTTACCAACCGGAAAAGACTCGATAAGGCGGCGCTACAATTCCACTGATGCAACTGCGCCAATATTGCATATTGCAATTTGCAGGCTTGGACCGCAGGCTTGCCTTCAACCATATTTGCAGCAACTTGCCAAATCAGCCCCCGCGAAGTTCAACGCGCACGCAAATCACGTTATCTATCTTGCTTTCCCTGGTCGCGCACGCATACTACTTGCCAATCCTGACACCTGTCTATTGCATAATCTTTGCGTGTTTTGCATTTTAGACATTCCGTATAACTTGTGCCCCACCTGCCCCTGCGACACCAGATGCCACATGTCTGCTTGAAATACGCAACCTACTCCCCAAACAACTATCACCAACTGCGAATCCGGCAGCATGTTTGTAGCAAGGTTGAGTTTGCCCCTAAGAGGCATGTAACGAGATGATGATTCAGTGTCTTCGCGTGGTGTTACTATAGAGTCTCTGACTGTGTTGGGCCTAAATGTGTGTGCCCAACCGCAAACAACGAGTGCGCCGAGTCACGGCAAAGAAATCTCCGCCATATTAACTAGCAAGTACAATTTACAATAGAACCTGAATACATTTTTTAAACTGCAGCCAGGTCCCGCCAAAATCGGCTCAAGCATAGCCAACGGCTCATGCCAAACAAAACAAAGTGCCAAGCAAAAACCCGTGTCTAGGCTTATGTCACACTACTTGCCAGGCATGTTTGGCTTGCGCGAAAAAATGAGTGAAATTCAAGAAGGGCGAATAAATATAGGCTCGGTGGCTACCTAAGGACGCATCTTGCGCCATAAAGCGGCATATCTTCTTCCTAAATAACTTCTCCGAATGTGTCCCTCCCTGCCTGCTGTGTTTTAAATATGTTTTATGCGGTGTGTGGGCATTCCTGGTCGTTTTGCGTTTTTATGCGGTGTGTAGGCATCCCCCTTCATAAACGGGCCCGCTTTTCCACCATTTCTGGCTCGACACCCCGAAATCTTGATTTTAGAAGCAACCAAAACGTAACCGCAACTGAAATCGGCAAGTCATGAACGTTTTGATGCGCGTGTTCTGTCATCATCGCCTTTTCTTGAGCTCGGGGTTCAGCTCTATATTTCTCACACTCCAAGCATGCGTCTCTGAAAGATCTGCAGGTGAAGCGATCTGATGCCTCTTGTGTGCCGTGCCGATGTGCCGGCGGAACTTTTTGCAAGGTGCGTTTTCCATCAGTTATGTGGCAATCTGCTGGTGCCTTTCACAGAGAGCGCCACGAATGCCCTATCCATTTTCCAACGGCGCAAGCTCTACGTTTTGTGGAACTATTTGGAAGAGTTGGCTCTTTGGCAGCTACATTACTCGTGTGTGCTTGAAATGTCAGGAGATTCTTGCGGCCTCTTTTCCGCGCCCGTGTGTTCTTTTGCGAGGAGTTGGACTCCTTGATCTTGAATTCAAGGTGTGCGCAGAAACGCCCGATGTGGCGTAAGGTGTAGGGTACTAGCAAACATCAGGGCAAAAAGAGATCGCCTGCGCATTCTTGACCTGAATCGCCTGAGCTTGAAGGATGCCGGGGCAGGAAATCCGCAGCTCGCCGAGCTGCTCAAGATGCAGTGAAACAGAGCTTAACTACGCCCAGGGTAAAGCAAATCTTGGGATGTATGTGACTGGAGGCACAGCGGTAAGAGCGACCTGTCGCAGGGCTCGAAGCCATGGCTACACTTCTGGCCTCACTCGGCTGGGGCAAGAGTTCAGGCAACGCGCAAGCCTTGTGGATGTAGAAAGGACCAGGGACATGAGATGCACGGCAAATGATCCATGGGTGGCAGTGAGCCAAGCATCGTGTGGACCTAATTCTATCATTCAGTCATGACAAGGAGGTTCGTCCCCTTCCAAAGGTCTGGGTGGAGCTGTTGAACAAATAGAGTCCATTGAAAGAGCCTCACCTTGAATATTTGTCCCTTAGCCTCCATCCTCACGTGAACCTTTGCAAGCCTGCTGTCGCTATACGCGCCCTTTCAGCAAATCCTGATTCATGAGTAGCAACATACTCCAGTGCAACAAGTCTGCTTCCGGCTCTACTATTGCGAAGCAACTGTTCTGCAAGGTTTCTTCTTCCTGGACGGATATGATTTTTGGCCTGGATTACAATGGACATTAGCTCCTTTCCAGAAGTTTTGGCCTTTTGCCATTTTGGTGTCACCGAAGTGTTTCCTAAGAAGACAAAAGCCTCCAGCCTCAGAGTCCGGTTGCAAACATCAAAGTCACAGTCCTCGAGACCCTGCCTTCCACACTCTGTTTTGGTGCTTTGGCCAGGCAGACTAGGAGGTCTATGGCGACTGCAAGGCACGTAAAAGAGTGCACGCAGTTCCTGGGAGTCCTTGAACTTGTGGACGCTTCCTTTGGCAATGCTGCACCACTTGAGAGGAAGCTATGAGCTTTGGATGCTACTGATGTGATTCCATGCGAGGCCCCGCTGAGTCTTCGGTGTTTGGGCCGTTGGCACAGGACGGAGCATTTTCCCCGCACACATGTGCATTGTGCGTTGTGCACAGCGCAAGGTGTTGATGTCTGGATGTTTGTCCCTGGCCCCTTTGCCTGTGCGCAAGATCTTGTTCGGGAGTCGGGCTACTGTCAAGCCGCAGGAGAAGCGCTTTATGCACCACCAAGGTGCAGGCAGCTCAGATCGGATGAGATAGGCAGCCTTTGATGACCATTTCCAGGACCGATTTTTCCTCGAACTTAGTAGATCAATCGGTCTCCTTTTGCTTTGATGACCATTCTGTCCAACTCTGAACCCTTGCTGTCTTGTAGTCTCGCTTCATGAGCTTGAGGTTCTGAAATTGCGGTGCAGCGAGTGCCGCTTTGTCATCAAGAGATGGCATGCGCTTGCCTCACAGATGTGGCAAGCGCTCGTAGACTAGATACGCTGAATACCCGTTGAGGTGCCCATTCTGGCGGTAGACTGCAATGCCAACCGGCGGCACAAGCAGGCTGAGAGCCGGTCCTGCCATGACGTGGATTCATGTTGCCCGAAGGCATTGACCAACCCGGCCATTCGATCTCGATGGCCGGTGACTCAGAAATCACTGCTGGGTATGTGAAAATGGTCCTGGAAAAGCCGAAGTCGGTCAGGAGGAGTCCTAGTCTGCGCGCAACTCGCAAACCCAGGAAGACATGGCCGTGGGTCAAAACCAATGGTACCATTTTGGGGTAGGTGCACCGCCCATTGTAGAACCTATTTAAGTGGGGATTGGGATATTCACTGGGGGTGCGGGATTTTGACCCATAGCCACATGTCCTTGCACATCAGGTCTGCCCAGCTTCCAGACTATCTCCGTCCCTGGGTGGAAGGAAAGCAGTGCGCCGTATCACGGCGTTTGGAGCTGGGCCTGAAAGCTGTCTGTCAGGTACCCGAGAAACCCGCACTATCGCCAAGCTCACACCTTCCAATACCTGCACCACAGGAAGAAGCGCCTTTCAAGCAGTACGTCATTGTCACTGCTGGTTGGTGGTGAGGATCTGTTGTTAGAAGCACATTGGCAGATGCTACCTGACCGAGGAATATCAGGCTGCGGTGACGGCTCAGATGTTTCACCAAGTTGAGTTGTTTGACAGCGCATTTTCTTGACCGCGGTGTCGCGAAATGGCTTGAGAAAATGCGCCATGCACACGCCCACATACCCATACATGTACTCATGAACGCGATTTGCCGTAGTTTGCCACGAGATATCACATTGAAGCAAACTTTGAAGCGCCGCGCGTTTGGATGGCCATATAAATTGGCTTTCAGACAATTTTGTAACTTGCTCCGTCAGCAGTTTTGGCAGGCGGGGCAAAGTGCATATCCAGACGCAAACCAACAGAATTGTCGTTGTTATGTATTTTGCAAGCCTCCTTGCCAAGCGCTTTCTTCCCTGACAACGTGTGCAGGTTAGTTGAAGCCAAGAGTCGGACGGGCTCCTCAGTCTGGTGGTTGGCAACCTCTGGTTGAGTTAAAGCTGACACGGGCTGAAGGCTCACGCTTTTGAGTCGGATGTCAAGCTGAGGTCTGATGCAGAGAGTCCTGCCAGGCCCTTGGTTGAGAAGGGTCTGGTTCAGCTCGCCTCAGATGTCTTCCTGGAGTCCTTTGCTTGCGCCACGCAGCCGGCTCAAGCGATCGCACTGCTAGACTCCAAGAGGCCAGCTCTTTCTAATCCCGCATGCGCGGAATCAGCGGTAGGGGTTGAGTTGAGAAACGCACGTGCAGGCTGAGGCATGCCCAAGCCTGCCGAAGACAAATTTGCGCGTAAGGAGACCCGTGCGGGGCAGAGGGCGGAAGCAGCTGCATGTTTCGTGCCGATAGGGGGTGGATGGCATGGTGGCTTCCCCTTGCCCCTTGGCTTTGCCTGCTTCATCGTGCTTTTGCGTGTGTGGGCCGTCAAACACTTGCTGGCGAGGAGAGGCACTCTGCCGACCCCAAGTCCAGCGTGAGGGCTCATCCCAAGAAGGCGGTCGCAAAGCTATGCTTAAGCCAAAAGGGTCCCGCAGCGGTTTTTGGCCAACACATAATTGCAGTAAAGCAAGATGTGTAAGTCATGCAGACATGGCTGCCAGGATGCCCCGAGGAATGGCCAAGTAAGAAAGGAAGGGAGTTGTAGGTAAGGGCTTCGCTCTGTCAGAATAAGCTCAGTGCAAACAAGCGGGCCGGAGTAGAACAAAAATAGGCAAGCACATCATACAACACAAACGCATAAACACACTTTCTCTTGACTAGGTCCGCCACGCGCGCACCCTGTCCAGTACCATTTTTGCCCCACTCTTCTATTGGATGTCACGGACATTTTGCTGGTTTGCGAGCACGCGCATGTTTGCATGTCTCCAACACCAACAACACCAACACCAATAACACCAACAACACCAACACCAACAACACCAACAACACCAGCAACACCAAGAACAACAACACCAACACCAACAACACCAACAACACCAGCAACACCAAGAACAACAACACCCATAACAACCACGACGACGACGACGACAACGACGACTACAACAACGACGACGACAACGACGACAACGACGACAACGACGACAACGACGACAACGACGACAGCGACAACGATAACGACAGCAACACCAACAACACCAACAACATTAACAACACCGACAACACCGACAACACCGAGAACACCAACACCACCAACAAAAACAAAAACGACACATCAGAACACATCACAACACACAACGTCACACAACATCACGCAACAACGCAACAACACAACAACACACAGCAACACACACACACACCCACATACACACAACACCACACACACACATATACACGCAAACACAAACACACAGACAATCAAACACACAAGCACACAAACACACAAACACACAAACACACAACTACACAACTACACAACTACACACAACTACACAACTACACAACTACACACACACACACACACACACACGCACACGCACACGCACACGCACACGCACACGCACACGCACACGCACACGCACACGCACACGCACACGCACACGCACACGCACACGCGCACGCACACGCACACGCACACGCACACTCACACGCGCATTCGCACGCGCACGCACACGCACACGCACGCACACGCACACGCACATGCGCACGCGCACGCGCACGCGCACGCGCACGCGCACGCGCACGCGCACGCGCACGCGCACGCGCACGCGCACGCGCACGCGCACGCGCACGCGCACGCGCACGCGCACACGCACATGCACACGCACACGCACACGCACACGCACACGCACACGCACACGCAAATACAAGCAACAACCACGCCAACACACAGACACACACACACACACAGAACAAAAGTCTCACACACACACACTCACCCACACATGGCACCGTGAAAGACTTCGGCTTTGACAGGGGGTACGGAGCAGTAGTTTGTTGCCTATGGGGAGCGCATTCTCTTGAAGAAACGTAAGTTCACAATGGCAGCGGGCAATTATGAGGATAGGCTGCAATCATAGCTCTCCTGTTTCAGGATGGCGCAGGCGGCAAGTTCACCATGGGCCGACCTGGTGATGAAGCAAATCCAACTCCGCAGGACTGCTTGGAACATATTTGTACTGTATCCGGCTTCTGGCTCGACAAAGCATGGTGGATGCATCAGAACATGCCACCTGCCTTTGCCTTTGGCAAGCTGCTGCACAAAGCATAATCATGAGGAGCTGGACAGAAGAGATCCCATCTACGATTCGGAAAGCGAGGCCAAGAGATGATGGCCGCCCAATGCCACCGAGTCTTCATCCTGGTGCTAAACACCTTGGAGTCCTTTGAATTGCCTTCGGGCAGGCAGACAAGCGATTTGAAGCCCGTTCTAAAAAGCATCGCTGCAGGCAGAGATGACTTCAGTCCAGAAACCCCCCCAGCCATCCACAAATCAACCAAACAAGCTTTCCTGAAGGCGGGCAAGTGACATGAAGTGCACTCTGGTCTGCCAGACCTGCGGTAGTTTTTGTGGACCCATGTACAGCAGAGGGGCGCCACTTGGTGTTTGCCGCTCGTCGTCACAGCGATGTTTGCCGCTCGGCAGGTGCAAAAAGTTGGCCATGCGAGGCCTCGCGTTCCTTCCCATGGGAAGCGCCGTCGCCGAGGCCAGCGCCACGGCTGCGGCGGGCGCTCTGCTCCCTCCAGGCTGCCAGGCCTGGGCAAGAGAGCCTGATCCTTTGTGGCGTAAGAGCTGCAAGTAGCTGAGAAGGGGTCGCTTGTCTCATGTTGTGAGTCTCGGTGTTGTCAAGATGGGCCGGACTCTGACCCAACTTTGCGCGAGCCAGGGGAAGCGTTCGGTTTCGGTTTCCAACGCTGGTGCGTTCAAGATGGGCAGGTGCAGGAGTTCCTGGGTGCGTTGGCGTCCGGCCTGCGGCTCGGAGCGGGTGGCGTGGCGTATCCGTGACTTTGCCTCTCGCGAGGTGCCTGCGGCCACCTCAAGGTGGACCCAGAGCGTCCGCGAGAGGCCGTTCTCCACGGAAGTCCACGAGTTCAAGGCGAGATATTCAGTTGTTGTTCCAAAAGGGACCGATCCACGACAGTTTGTTTGCCAGGCTGAGACCAAGAAGCTTTTGGATATTGTAGCCAAGTCCCTTTACACCGACAAGGAGGCCCGGTTTTGCCAGCTACGAAGATTCCGTACCTCCTTGCCAGAAGCAGAGATAGAGAGAGTCCTTCGCTAATTGGCATACTTTCTTGCCCAGCTCCATGTTTGTTGGTGAGAATCTAGCTGCACCACCATATTTAAGTATGTACTGTATGCCTGCCAGGTGTTCATTAGAGAACTTATCTCCAATGCATCGGACGCCTGTGAAAAGCTGCGCTTTTTGTCGGTGCCTTAACCCGCACATGTTGCCACGTTTTGAAACACACACACACACACAGTGGCTGAGACAGGGGGACAAGTCAGAGCTGAGTCTTCAGTGTCGCTTGTTTTCAGTGTGCAAAGCAGTGCCTTTTATTCTCAGGCAGACAACTCAGGCAGTGAAGGAGGTGAATGATGCAGACACCCCGCGGCAGCCTCAGACAGAGGGCTTCTGCAGCGTGTGAGAGCCCACAAATTTCCGCTTTGGATGAAAGCATCCGCAAGTATCCGATCTAGTTTCACTTTAAGCAGGCAATTGATCCATTTCAAGGGATTCCTCCGAGTAGTTTTTGACCAGTATGTAGCTTTGTGACGAATCTGGTTGACATAAGGAGGGAGCCACAGGGGCACAGATTCCAAGGCTTCAAGTCACACTCAGCGTGGACGAGAACGAGAGGCCTACTTGATGGACTTATAACCGGGCCTCAATGCGAACTGGGTACCGAGCACATCAGAGAAAGAGAGAGAGAGAGAAAACAAAAAGGAGGGAGAGAGATGTTCCGCTTTTCCACGAGCGCGGCAGGAAATTTGTCATCGAGGATTCTGGAATGGGAATGACCCACGATGAGTTGGTGGGAAGCTTGGAAATGCCATCAGCAAGCCACGAGATCTGTGGGAGTTTCTCCAGACAGTTTGAGCCAGTCACGCCTACTCCACTCGCTATCCTGGCAGCTTGTCCCATCTGTTCCAAATTCAGGCGCTGAGCCACTTGAAGATGGGCTGTAAGTGTACTTTGCTCATTCGTCCTTTCAATACCTTTGTCCTTGCCTAGGGGAGAAACTGAAAGTTAAAAAGCTGGCTGATGTGCAAACGTAGGCACGTATTCTTTCAATGGACCAGGTTCTTTTTCGAACCCTTTATATGAGGAGACCTGAAGCATGGCTGGAGAATGTACTTTTTGAGCAGGCCATGATACACAAGGCCCTGATAACTAAGAACGTCCGGCGTTCAAGGGATAGTTTTGAAGGATTCAAGGCAGAAAAGGTGGCGACAGTGCCAATGCATGCTCTGGCTCAGCTTTGTCCTTTCGAGCCCGTTTGCCATGGCAACGCAAGACACATTCTGAAGGATGTCGAAGAGCGCCGACCAGCAACATGCCGGCATCTTGGCAGTGAACAGTGCTTGTTGGTGCTTCATGCGCGCAAGTGCATCTTCAATCCGGGGGCTCACGAGCGCATTGCGCTCTGACTTGACTTTCTCGAGACATAGCTGCCTTGGCAAAGCTGAGGCAACCCCATCAAGCTTCTGAGCAAGCTACGTTCTCCTGTATCGCAGCAAGCGGTAAACTCTGTGTTGGCACCGTTTCTGGAAGATTGGGGTGAACAACCGCGACTGGCCACCAGCACTCTGTCGGCTTTGCGCGGGAAGCCAGGTTTGGTCTTGCGAATGCTGGAGGCCTTGGTCCGAGCGCGAATCGCCAACACCCGCCACTTCAACGTGGCCATTGACAGCTGCGCACGTGCGAGCCAATGGGAGCAAGGGCTGCTCGTGCTGTCACAGATGCAACAGGAGGAGGCGATGCCGAATGTAGTTTCCTTTGCAAGTGCCATGCAAGCATGTGGCAAAGGAGGCCAATGGATGCTGGCTTTAGGAATGCTCGACAAAATGCAAGCCTTGAGGATTGACCCAGACTTAAGACTAGTAAATGGCTTGATCAGCACTGCAGACTGGCGCCTGGCCGTTGCCTTGCTGGACCTTCTACCATCTCTTGATATCTCTCCCGATGTTTTCTCCTACAACACGGTGATGAAGGCCTTGGGCAAAGGAGGGCAGTGGGAGAAGGCGTGGTCCTTCTTCCAGCAGATGTGCCATGGGCCGGTGCGTCCCAGTGTGGTCTCCTGCAACACCGCCATGGCGGCTGCCAAGCACTGGCCGCTGGTGCTGGGGCTGTTGGAGAGGACGGGGTAATGGGTGTTTTCTGCCTGTGAGTACTGGTTAACAAAACGAAACACCGTCGGCTGAGCGCAAATCGTCGCTTTGCCGTTGCCCAGGATGCCGAGGCTGCGGCTCTCGCCGGACCACGTCAGCTTCCGCTGCGCGCTGCAGGCGGCCAGTGGAGCGTGGGCCTGGGACAAGGCGCTGGAGATCCTGCGGGACATGCGCGGGGGCGCTGGGACAACTGGGCCCGGAGCTGCGGACTTCACCGTGGCCATGAAGGCCTGCTGCAGGAGCCGCCAGTGGCTTCATGCCCTGAATCTGCTGTCCTCGCTGAGTAGCAGCCATGTTCAAGGGGACCTCCCAGTGCATAATGCGGCCATTGGCGCCTTGGGGCAAGCTGGACGTTGGCAGGAAGCTGTGTCTCTCCTAGCAACTGTGCCACGCTGGGATCAGGTTTTGGCAAGTACTGCTGTTTCGGTGGTGACCCAATGGGACCAAGCCTTGCTGCTGCTGGGGCGTCTTGGGGAATGGAGGCTGCGAAGCACGCTGCTGACACACACGCCAGTACTGAAGACCTGTGGTGAGGCATCGCAGTGGCCGTGGGCCTTGCATTTGCTCCAACAGCTTGAGCTTGAGATGAGGTCGGACCTGGTGATGTGCACTGCGGCCATCAACGCGTGTGCTGCCGCCATTGTGTGGCCCCATGCGTTGTTTTTGTTCCATGGCCTTGCAGCAAGAGCCTTGCTCCCTGACCGTGTTGCGTACACCGCCACCATATCTGCATGTGGAAAGGCCGACCAGTGGCAGCGCGTTTTGCAGCTTCTTTCCCAATCACAGGCAGCTGGTGTGAGCCCGGACTCTACGAGTTTTGTTGCAGCGATTAGCGCTTGCACGGACTCGTGGCAGCATGCCATTGAGTTGCTGCGGCAATCATATGAGCGCCAGGTGCACGATATTGGATGTTATAACGCCGCAATTAGCGCTTCTTCGCGCTCTCATTGGCAGCTGGCTATTTTGTTGCTGGGTAGTGCCGAGGAGGCTCGGCAGAGAGCCGATGCTGTCACGTACACGGCAGCTATTAGCAGTTGTGAGAGGTTTTGTCAGTGGAGACATGCTTACGCACTATTCTGTCAGATGTCGGAACAGGATCAATCTGCGACAGTCATCACATACAACCTTTTGATCAGTGCGTTTGCCAAAGGCGAACAGTGGCAAACAGCTTTGCTCATGCTATCGGAACTGGAAGGGAATGCCGTGCGGAGCAATCTCATTACACAGGGTGTGGCCATCAATGCCCTGGCACGTGGCTTACAATGGCGGGTTGCCATGACCATCATGTCCTCTGGATCAAATGTGCCGAGCGTGGTCACTTTTGGCACTTTAATCAATGCCTTCCAGGTCAATCTCTTCTGGGAGCATGCCTTGATCATTCTCCGCTCCATGCCTGGCATGTCTGTACAGCCTTCCCTTGCATGCTACGACTACGCCATGATGGCCTGCGAAGGCGTTCGCAGCGACCTGGCGCGGCAGCTGCTGTCTGAGTCGGAGGACAGATCCCCAGTGTCACTTTTGTGGGGCGCGTCGCTGGTGCGCTGCCTGGGCCCCGACGCAGTCCACAGCGCTTGCACAGCGGCGGCGCGCTGGGCTGCTGGCAGGCTGTCTCCCCGGGAGCTGGCGACCGCGTGGTGGTCTGCAGCCGTGGTAGGAGCAAGCAACGACGGGTTTGGCCGGACTTTGGTCAAGCAAGCCTCTCAGCAGATCTACCAGTTTGATATCGAGGAACTAAGCATGGTAGTAGCAGCTGCCGCTTCGGATTCTTCCAACATTCCGTTTTTGTGCCTTGCACAGGGCGCTGCGGCCCAAATGCTCGACACGCAAGCCTTGGACATCTCCTTCGGTGGGGCGGGCAAGGAGCTTCTCGGGATTCTCTTCTCCTGTCGCCTGTGTGGCTGCTTGCAAGCTTCAGTCCGCGAAGCCGTCCACGAGGCCATGCTACGTGCGGGCCAGCGTCGAGATGTCCAGCGCTTCAGCCAGCCCAGCAAGCCCAGTCCGCAGGCACCGGACCTGACGGTTCTGAACTTGCCCGACCGGGCGGTGCTTTTCAAGCCTCCTGGCTGGGAGGCCGGGGCAGTTTGTGTTGCAATTTGTTGCAAGAAGATCAGAAGCTCAGGTTAGGTGTTTTAACAGTTTGCATGTGGGACTCCCGACTGCCATCGTGCCTGGAGGTCTACGGGGGGCATGTGGACAGGCAGCTGTCGGACTTCGTGGGGGCCGCCTTTGGGGGGAACGCCATCTTCAGGGACCCGACGCACCAGCGCGGCTTCCTGCACCGGTTGGACGTGCCCAGCTCGGGGCTGGTTTTGGTGGCCAAGAGCTTTGAGGCATTCTACGACCTGCAGGACGGGCCAAGTTTTGTTTTGGGGAAGCCATGCCACGTAATCCTGTCACCCTTACTCATGTTACAGATGCCAGTCGTCTCTCATTTGGTATTACACGGTTTGAGACATCCACCACCGAATCTTGTTTATGGCCCATGCAAACTTTCAGCCATAGTCGTCGATTCGTCTGGACGTCTCGGGCAGGTGCAACTCCATGCAGGGCAGATGCGGCGGGACTACACGGTCCTCTGCCACGGGCTGCTTCGAAACCGGAGCATCGTGGCCAGGCTGCGGCCGGAAGAGGATGGGCCCAGCTTGTGCGGCCGCGGGAAGCCGAGCATCTCCAAGTTGGCTCCTTGGGCGCTTTGGCAGCTGTTCGTTTTGGATGCAAGGTACTTTTTAGAGAATGTCATAGTTCCGGGGAACATTGCATGTTCTCACTTGTTCCTCACAGAGGAAGAGGAGAGAACATGCAGGCAACCCTTGCTGTGTTGGCCGCGCGGAGGTTTTGTTGAGACACCTGCAGCACGTGATTGGCTCCCTGAGCCAAGTACTCCTGTGCATCGCCACGGGCCGGAAACACCAGATCCGCAGTCACCTGGCCCATGTGGGCCACCCTACTGTGCGGGACAAGCTGTGCCTTCGACCCAGAAATACTCGTACCTTTGGATCCTGAAGCTCATGGTGCTAAATATGTTTCTGCGTTCCCACCAACCAGCTTTTTTGTCATGGGGGGGAAATGTTCAGGTTACCTGAACCGCACCCCTGTCCTGAATCGTGTGGTTGAGGTACAGCAGCCTGGCGACCTTCAATTTTGATGCGGCCCTTTGCCCGCGGAACTGGCTGCACCGACACCGGCTCCGGTTCTACTCGGCCGGGGAGGCGCACGAGGTGCGGTCGGACCTGCCGGAAGATCTCCGGCTGCCCCCTGAGATGCTGGAGCTGCGGAGAAGCGAGCACCCGTCGGAAAATTAGGTGAGATTCATATTTGGGTTCATATTTTAACAGTACAATAGTTTAAATCACATGGGTGGTTTGTGTATTACCGTCATGCCACATATTTGTTGGCATGCATGAGCTGCCACACGCGGAGAGGTTGCGAGCCCAACCGTTCAAACCGGCACATTTGCCACCTGAACAATGCCATCACTTCAACTGAATGAGACCTTTCAAATGGTTTTGAGGTTCAGTCATTCTTGGCCGACGGGTGGCGTTGCGTTCATTCCTGCCTCCCTGCCTTTCAGAAGGCTGCCAAAGTCTAAATGGCCTTTCACGAACACGCAGGCCAATTCTCGATTCTCACAAAAAAGATACGCTTCAAGGAGGCTGCAGTTGCCTCTCATCCCTTCGGGACACGCCAATTGAGGTCGAGCACCTAGGGACCATTGCCAAGAGCGGGTCCCTGGACTTTCTTCAGCGCCGGGCCCCATGGAAGGGCGGGAGGGGCGAAGGGGCTGAAACATTGGAAGCAGGTGGCCAGGGTTGCATCCCATCCACACCAAGGGCGAAGGAACGCAGGACACGTGAGCATGGAGGGCTTGGTACCTGGACGTCAGGTGGAGAGTCTGATGCTAGCAAGATCATCGGCCAGCCTCGCTCTGAGCAGCGACATCGTGCATCTTGCAGGGACAGTATGATGTTTCAGTAGGTTGGATGTCTCCTTGGGCCAGCTTCCCTCGTTCAAGCTGAGTAGGTATTAACTTGCGAGGAGTCACACACACGCACATACACACACACACAGCTCTCAGCAGAAAGTGTTGGTTTGACCTTCTGCCAGCTCTGAACGGAGTGAGAGAAATATGTGCCCTGGAGCAATCTCGCAAGACAAGCTTCATTGGAAAGCCAATTTCCTGGGAGGACCCACTCCTGCGCCTAAGGTTTGGTGTCGGCTTTTACTCCACCTTCGTGGTCGCAGACAAGGTGCAGGCCTGGAGCCCCCGGGATCTCAGAATTCACCAGAATGGGGGCAGGCAGTGTCAAAAGGCCAAAATGCCAGCAACGTCTCAATGCTCCTGAGCGCTTGCTCGGTGGAGCATGCGGGTACAACTTCGTAAGTGAGCGAGCATAGAAGCAGATCCCGTGGACTCGAGCAACAGCGATTGTTGAGACACCTGGATACATGGCGTGAAGAGACGCACAATACAAGCAAGTGATACTGACCGCTAACTAGCTTGACATCGAGCAAGGAGTGTTGGTCTGCAAATGGCTCCATTACTCTGTCAGGTGTACACTATGACAGCCGACAAGGAAAAGGGGTCGAAAGGCTACCTCTGGAGCTCTGACGGTGTCAGCCTTGGAGGGCCTTAACCATTTCTAAAGGTACTCGATCAAGGACTCAATACACCCTTCTTGACAGAGATCAAATCTCAATCATGGGGTTTATTTTGCTTGAATCGGCGTGTAACACGCTTTTCCATTTGCCCCCTCACACATTTCGTTCGTCCGAGGCTCCGGTAGCTTCACCATCGAGGAGGTGGAGGATGTGCCGCGCGGCACACGCATCGAGCCGGGAACTCATGGCAGTACAAGCCCTACACCATGTTGTTTGTAACACTGGTGTTGTTTGAAATGTAGCCTTCCTCAGACCAGGCTGAGTGAAGGGCTCCTTTTTCAAACATAGACATGCTTGCCCCCAACCTGGAAAGTGCAGTGCTCCTGGGAAGGTTGCATCTGAAGGATGATGCCACAGAGTTTGCCTCGCTCGCGCGAGCCTCACAACAGTGCCCATAGCGAGATGTCCATCCTCGTGGAGTTTTGCGCGCTGTTCAAGGGGTGTTGGGGATGACACAGAGACTTAGACCGCGAAATGGCCGTCACAGCACGCCCGCCGGCATGGAAAGAATGTATTGACCGTTGCCCATCTAGTCCTGTTGCTGCAGGCTAACGTCAAGAAGGCTGCCCAAAAGCTCCCTGCTCAGATATGAGTCGTCCTGGAGGCTCGCTGGGCGCTCCATTCGAGGTTCTCTTCATACATTGACTTCCCCATCTACGTGAAAGAGGCGGCCGGTTCGAAAAGAGTTTCTATCGCACAACTTGCGCGCTGGTTTGCCCTGTGTCCCGGCCAGGAGGGAGAGCCGAAAGCCATCAACAAGCAGGAGGCGCCGGACTTGGACGCACACCTTGCGCCCCAGTTCCGTGAGGGATTGCGACTCCTTGGATTGATCATGATTGTGACGAAGGTAGCCTTGGGGAAAGAAGGGCTTTTGTCGCAGTTCAGTTTGCTTCCACGATTCGCACCGATAGACGCTTATTTCGACCTTCCCTCCAAGTATATTGGGTTCTTGTTTGATCTCGGATACATGGACTCTTTGCTGCAGTTTCAAAACATGGTGGACACAGAGCAATAGAGAAGCTCATTGGACGAAGGGCGCAGGTTGCTGAGATAGGTCACTCTTTTGTCCCTGCCACTGACAGAATGGAAGATGTGTCCTTTCTTGGCCCAACATGAGACTGAGAGTAGATCTTGCTTTTTTCCCTTTCACTTCTCCCAGTCCCAAAAGGGAGCATCCCTTTTTGGAACCTTCGTCTGGAAGATCCCATAGCACCTCCCCATCCGGCCTAGGCGCTGTGGATGTTGCGCTCCGCCACTGAAGAGCAGCACTTGGAGTTGGGCGGCTCAGACGGTCGCTCTAGGAAACCTCGAGGCGATGAAGTTCACCTCATGAGAGACCCGCTTTGAATGATCGAGTGGCTCATGACTCTTGGCAAATCGACGTGATAAGACCGAAAGGCCTTTGGAAGGCCCGTGCATTGTACTGCAGGATCCTTGCACATGTCTGTTTATTGGTGGCAGTATGTGTCTCCTGCAAAGCTGGCATCCTCGGCACTATATCAGAGGCGCAAGCCTCTGAACACCTCACCTTAACACACTGTTGCAAGTTGAAGAGAGCAAAGGTTCTTGCTTGTGTGCAAGCCTACTGCCTGGCAACTGCACCCATGGGCTCAGGTTCTTCCGCTTCCTTAGCCACAACTCGTACGGCAAGCCGTTTTACACGCTGCAAGGGCCTTAGATTGGCACACCAAATTCAGTCTGGTGCGTGATTTGCATCGGCACACGTCACTCGTGGTCGATGCTAGTGCTTCTGAGCTGCATTAAGACTATGGGTCGAGGATGTATCAAACAGATGCTCCTCTTTCCATCAAGAGCTGCTTGGAAGCATGATGGGACCAGCTTTTGAATCGACGCATGGTTACTGTCCCCACGAGGCTGCTTCTACGTCCCGGATCCTGACAACGCCCCCAGCCGCTTGTTCACTAAAGATCCTGAGATTGGCGTCTGGCACCAAGTGATTTAGACAAGCCTGGCGTAGGTTTGCATGGCATTTTCCACTGTGCAAGATGTTCGGCTCATGGCTCAGGTGGCGCTGCACTCGCGCCGTGTCATGGTCAAAAAGCACGCAGACGGGGTGATTCCCAAATGGCTGCATTGGATGAAGGCCTGTGCCAATCCCCACTTGCGCGGAAACCCGATAAGCTCGCTCAGCGTTGTCCGGTCAGGGGATCGTGGACTGTGAGGACATGCCCATGAGCATCCCTCAGTGGCCCTTGTCACCCAGGGAGCCACATTTCGTCAACCGGGAACCAACCCAAGAAGTGCGGTCCACCAACATCATGTGCTGCGGTGTCAAGGAACATCAGCCGGGAGAACATGCAAGACACCCGCTTGATGGAAAAGCCAGAGCCGCAGATTCGCGAGATTCACTGTTTGACTGGGCGACCTTATATCCACACTGCAGCCTGGACGGGAGCCCGAACCCCCTCCCCTTGAGAGCGGGAGCAAAGACAGACCCGTTGTGTTGAGCTCTCAGCTAGGTCTCACCCACCCTTTGCAGGCTCAGCATGGCCGTGGTGCGCAGAATCCTTCGATTCCTGCAGCAGGAGGTGCCGATCTGCAACTTAAGGATGAAGCGGGAGCAAGCAACCACGAGCCCGCTTGTTAGGCCAGCTTAGTCTAAGTATGTGTCTCCTGTTTTCAGCCCTTGATACACGGGTCTTACCGTTCTGATGTCTCAACTGAAACTTTTGATGGTTTTTTGTTTGGAGTGTTTTTTGATCCTGTTAGCAGGGATTTGGATTGCTTTCGGGGTTGCACCAACGACTGACATAGGCTTGCTGGACAGATAGCTTTCAACGCAGAGGTTAGAGTGGCGGCAGGGTGATTGGCCGACTCGCCACACTTTTGATATGACTGTGCCCGCTAGGCGAAGAAGGACCCTGAGAAGTATCAGCAGTTCTTCAAGGGCTACTCGTACTTCTTGAAGGCATGCCCATGACTTCAAGCAAGCTGCACTGCCCTTTCCAGATCTTGACTGTACTGTTGCCACACACGCTTTGATTCCCGCATTTGTTTGTTTGCACCCATGGTGGATTCCTGGATGCAGCTCCTGAGCCAAGTGGCATTGCGGGCACAAGGCTGGAATCATCGAGGACAAGGAAGGCAACTTCAGCCGCGTGCGTCTCAAGCGCATCGCCTGGGGTTGAAGGCAAGCCTTGACCAGCAAATCAGTTCTGCTCACCTCATCCTCACTGGTGGCAACAAAAGGGCGCAGATTTTCAGCAGCGCTCAGAGGACCTTGGAGCACAGAAGATATCCTTTAGCCACTGTGCAGGGCTGATCCTTAGCTCACCTTGCCCTTTCCGAGGCCATAAGGACGACCTCCTCAAGCTCCTGAGATTCGAGCGCAGCGCCGAGCCACCACACGAGTTGCTTTTTCCGATGGAGCTGGCCAGTATTTGGAATGGAGCTTTTATCATGGAGTGATTTTATTCCTGGCACATGGAGTTTTCCTGCGGGACATTTCTGGGATGGCGTTTTTTCTTCTTTTTTTTTTTTTTTCTCGCACAATCCGGAATAGAAGTCAAAAGGGGGGTCGTTCACAGTCGGTGGTTGGAAAGGACCTCCCAAGGTTGATCCGGGCTCTTGCCGCGAGGTGCTCCAACAAGTCCAAGGGCGAGCTGATCTCCTTGGAGGCCGCGGAAGGGGAAGGGGAAGGGACTAGAGGATATGGCCGTGGTCAACACCGTTTTGGGATCCCATTTTGGTAGGTGAATTCCCCGCCCATAGAGCCTATTTTAGTGGGGATTGGGATGTTCACTGGGGGCTAACCGGGCTTTTGACCCATGGCCATATGGACTTAAAACAAAACCATGGCCCCAAGACCCCTTTTTAGCCATGCACGTGAGGAGTATATCGACACGGCGAAAGAGGGCCAGCAAAATATCTACTACTTCACCTGCCGCAGACTCAACAAGCTGCTGCTGCTTTGCTGCAGCTGTTGCGCCCAGGCCCGGATCGCCAGACAGCCCTGTCGTCTCCCTACATGGAGCAGCATCTTGGCTGCATTCCGAGTGTCGATTTTGTTGAGCCGTTTGCGGTGTTTCCGCTTTGAGCCACCCGCAGAAACGGATTCGAAACAAAGTCGAACTCCAGGTTCCTTCAGCGACAGCTTGCGGCCCGGAGTTGGGTTGGCATCGCTGCAAAAGCCCACGGATGCCGCTTCCGAGGCGTAACGTCATTCTCATGTTCGAGGACATTGACGAGTTTGTGGTGCCACCAGCGCGTGTTGGGTCCCTGCGTCCCTGCGCGGGCAACTCTGTATCATGTCTTGGACTCTTCATCATTTTGCGTCTCATGGAGTTGAGCAAGAGAAAGCGTGCTGGATTTCTTTCATGTTCGACTTGGATCTGCTGCTCGCGACATGCCAGGTGAATGCGATCGAAGGCTTCAAGGAGATTCGCATGTCACCCCGGAGCTGGTTTTGTTTATTCCGTTTACTTGATTCTTGGGATTGCCAGTCTAAAGTCTTCACTCGTTCTTGGGACATAGTCTTGCTGAAGCATTGGGCCCTTTCTGCTATGCATGCGGAGGACAAGAAGTTCATTTCCGTTGACTCGGCGGACAAAAACTTTGAGCGTAGCCCTCAGCAGAGTATGGACCATTCCTTCCAGGAATGCGGTGCACTCACTTGAGACAATATCGATCTTGACTGGGCAGGTTGGACATTGACCAGCCGGAAGAAGACACCAGCGAGGCGGGTTGGGGTATATTGCTGTCCTGTGTTGCAAGCGTGGCCAGGACACGCGGGTGCTCACCGACAGTGAGCAAACCCAGCTGTCACAGTTCATCAAGAGCGTTCTGAAGGAGAAGGCGTGCCGCAGACTTTCTGAAGGTTGGCCTTTGCCGAAACACCGCGGCTGGATTGCGGATTTCTCCTGTGGCTCAAGGCTCCAGGTCATCAAGCGTTATATTGTTGGTTTTGTTGGTGTCGCCACGATGGGGTGGAATGTCTACGACGAGCCAGTTCTGACTCGATCGACCACCCAATATCAGGTACATGGTGAGAAGGAGGTGCTTGCGGATATCTTCTTGCAGCACGCTGTTGAAGGGTCTTTGGCAATGTCTGCCTGGTACTCTGCTGCTCAGTCCTTTTCGAGGGAATTCGGGGATCTACTCTGGTCCGCGTCTTCCAAGTCATCGACCGTGACCATGACGGAATTTTGGACCAAGATGAGTTTGTGAATGGGATCTACGCGATTTTGCACCCCACAAGAGAAGGATTGGCGCTTGCGGAGATCCTGGCCAAGGGACATTTGGCCACATTTTGAAAGGATTTCAATCACGTCAAGACCGTAGCCATCCTTGGAGCTGGTGTTGCTGGCCTGCAAACTGCTCGTCACTTGGGAGATATTGGCCTGCAGTGCACCATTTTTGGGAAGGATGATCTTTCCAACAGGTCCTGAAGTAATATCGTGCTGTACAGCAAGGCCTTCGGCTGCGTGACAAGGTCCGATTCAAGACCTTTGTGACCCAGGCAAACCCGACCGAAGCCGGAGATTGAGGCTGGAAGGTAGACTATGTGACGGGAGATCAGGCGCGCAAGACAGAGATCTTTGACTTCTTGATTGTGGCCACTGGAATGTACGGGCGGCCTCCGCATGTGCCCATGGCTAGAGGATCCCAGAATTTCAAAGGCGAGATCTTGCACTCTTGCACCTTTACTGATCGCAAACAAGCAGCCGTAAAGAAGGTGGTTGTCGTGGGCGGTGGCAAATCCGCCATTTTCCAGGCATTTCTTTTTCAATGACCTTGTCCATGGCACCAGGTGATGGATTCTTCAGCTCACCTTTCAGCATCTTGGACAGATGGCTTGCGTCAAAATCTCCTTGACGGTCGAAACTTCGGAGCCCGTTGACGTTGCGGCAAAGATAGAAACCGACAGTCTCTCTTGGACAACCTTGTCAAACATGTCGTAGTTCTTTGCAAAGCCTATGCCATAGATCACCACATCTGGCATCCAACTTCGTTCCATTTGTGAGAATCACACCTTCTTCTGTAACAGGTCGATGGATCCAGGAATGTTTTGACCTTCCCAGCTTTCAACATGTCGCGGAACTCATAGTCCAAGATTTGGCCGGCACTGAAGAGATCGGTGTGGATGCCGTCAGGAGGCATCATGTTACCCGAAATCTGGAACTGTCCCCGGAACATCAGTTCCACCACACGCCACCACATCCACTTGATGGGAGCGCAGGTACCATGGAACCACCTGCAAACTCGTCCCTCGTCATAGTAGGGCTGCAACATCCAATGCCCAAGCCTGTTGTAAGTGCCATACTTGAAGGGAACCGCTTTCGGCAAAGAACTGGCCAGTGCCAACGCCTGCAAATCCAGTGCTGGAAGCCTTACTTGGCCGCAGATACGGCGTTGTCTGGATGCCACCCATGTCTTCGCGTGCTTGCATAAGCACGACAACCTCTTGACCGACATGAAGGAAACCAGATTCCGCAAGATGCCTAATTGCTTTGGTGTTTATGCCATGTACAGCTGCCGATTACAGAGGCGTGTAGCTTAGTTGATGGTCTGTTTTCCAGCCAACGTTGTCATAGGCAAGCAACTTTTATGCCCGGTTTTGGATCTAGCTGCGGCAGTGTTCTGCCAGATATCTGCCTAGAGCAGCAGCCTGCAATAGATGGGAGCAGCAAACAAAAACACCTGCACTTGAACCGTTGCTCGGAGGTGCAGGAGGTGAAATTCTCGGATCGGTTGGTGAGCTCCCCGGCCATCGTGCGTGGGCCCTGGGGACACTGTACCTGTCTCCTGGTGCACCTCCATTAAACGGGTGGCTTCCTTTGAGTTTCGCGCTTTTTCATCCCAAAAGTGTCACCCAAAAGGATGGATCCTTTCTGGCGATAGCTTGGGACCCGTTCGCCTCAAGGACGAGCGTCATCACTCCACACATGCGGAAGATGATGAAGAGTCTGATGGCAGGGAAGGCCTGGCTGGAAGTGCAGGTTGCTTTTTTGCTTGCGGATTGGGTTTGCTGCCTGCCGCTGGAACCCTGTGGCTATGCGGAAAATGCAACCTTAGGAGAACGATGGCATGCCAGAACCTTAGATCCAGTCGACTTTGAAATGTCAGACATTGAAACAAGCCCAGCCATTCTTTGCAATGGCCGAAGCTTGCGTAATGTAAAGACCTGCGCCAACTGGACTGAGATGTAATGTTTCAGTCTGCTGCAGGGGCAACATCCCCATGACACTCGAGCTTAGCGCGAAGCACCACATTGTGACCACGCCTGGGGCCTTAAGGATAGGCAGTTGATGTCCAGGTCTGGTGCCAATGCCATGCGGCCAAACACTGGGGCAGTGCGTAAGTCAGAGGTGAACAGTATGGCAGGTCCGGTGATTGCAGGCCTTTACGGCATGAGCAGCATGAGCAGCATGAGCGCCGTCCGGCAGCCATTAGCTCAATCTGATCCGCATAGCCCGTAGCCATGGACGCGGTGCCACCGCTGAAGGCGGTGCCACCGGCGCAGGGCCCGAAGAGTGCCCGTTACTTAAGGGCTCGAGTGCCACAGCTGACGCCTCTGGCGGCGCGGGAGGCGGAGGAGACCACGGAGGAGGAGAAGGTGGAGAAAGCGGAGAAGGTGGTGAAAACCGAGCGCTGGCGAGAGACGGGGCTGGTTCGCTGGCCTCCCATCTCTGGCGGGCCTGACCAGCGCCAGGCACCTGATATGGTGCCTGTGCGCCAGTACAGCAAGCACATGCAGCCGTGGCAGGGTGAGCTTTGGGCGAGGTCTCTTCGGAAACCCGGGTTGATGTTGCAGCATCCAATTTTTGCCGAGAGCACAGTTGGTGCCAAGGCGCTCCACGAGGAGTGGGGTGATGTGCCACCGTCCTCCCCGCGCAACTGGCCCTACAGTGGCTTTACTTCAGCGAGGGGGTCAAGGCGGACACCTGATGCGAAAGACTGGATCGAACGCCCCGTGTCCACGGGCAAGTATGCCTTGCACCACATGGATGGGTCAAGGTACAAGTGGGACATGACTCCAAGGAATTGCTTGATCGATTGTCGCTTCAGAGGCTGAGAGATGTTGATCTGAGCCCTCTGAACTGCCTTAGCCCTTTTAATAGACTGATGTTAGCTGCGGGTTATTAGCGAGCCGCACCACAGATTTTCGGAGATGCCCCGGCATAGAATGTGGCCTGCGACACCGCAGTACCGCATTCGAACAGCTTTGGTGCCAGCTAGATATGGTTTTGGTGACAACGAAACGACTCTGCTGGTCATTGAGCATCAAAGCACTGCGGGACGTCCACCTTTCCAAGGCATCCTCTGGGTGTGTTCCCGGGAAGCTCGCTGACTCGCTGGTCTTGGGTTTTGCGAAACGCGCGCAGCTTGTGCAGCCACTGTCGGAGAGCGTTTGCCACTGGCCGGTGGGGATTAAGCGCTTTGTTTTGGATGCCGCAACCCCAAATTAATACAAGTGAACAAAGTGAACAAAGTCCAAGAGAGGTCACGGGAGTTGAGAGAGTCGGAGGCTCCACACCATCCTGGAGTCCAATGAGCCGGTGGCAAGAATAGCAGCGTGGCACTCAGCTCCGCGCATGTTGCACCGCCTCAATTTTCAGTTTGCCGCTTCAATGTTTAGCATCATCTGAATCATCCCAGTGTCCTAGGGAGACCGTCTCTGTGTAAGCGTCGGCTGGACAGCCTGGGCTGCCTCTCGGGCTATTCGACTCGAGGTCGAGCAGCTCTATGACACAGCCTGCATCGCCGCTGGCACGCTGGATGACCCCCGGGTGCTGATGTCGAGGCTGAACAAGGCGAGCGGTGCGTGGCCACCTCAAAGAGGGCAACAATGAATCACGCTTTTGCTGTATATTCACCAGATATATATATATATATATGTAAATGGTTGCTGTATCCAACGGAAGTACTAGTTTATGATGATTCATGTTGCTTGCTGTTCAAATGCACCAGCACGCACCAGGCCAAACGAGCATGAAATTCATAGCTTTCGTGTTTTGCAGTGGCTTCATAGCAAGCGATGACAGGTCTTGGAGATGTTTGTCTACCAGGGTGCTGGTTATGACTATGCTTGGCGCTCAAAGCCTCAAATCTGTGGCCCGCAGGAAGGGTTTCAGAGGGTTTCCAATCAAGTGCCATACCTCCAGGGTGCTCACAGGCTCAATTAGCAGCATCACATGGACTGTCAGACATGAAGGGCAATGCCTCGAAGAGCTTCAGAAGCATCCCGTTTGGCTGAGGCAAAGGGAGAATACCGTGGCGATCTCGCCTCGCCACCGAAGGTGCCTGCTTCTGCCAGAAGACATTGCACACTGAAACGCCGTGCAGGTTGAACCAACAGAGGTTGCGAAGGAAACCAAAGTCGAGTCCAAGGACATATGGCATAAATCTCTTTAGAGCCAGTGTGAGCAAGTCGATGGATACCGCCAAACTTGGGCAGTTGGCCACAATTTTTGCAGCATGGAGTCAAGGGCATTTCTGCAGCTCAAGGACTCCAGATTCGAGGAGGTGAAACCTGAAGAGAAGCCGCAGACAAAGCGCGCACCTGGCGACACAGAAAGCTAGGGTGCATTTTCTGTACCCCCTTCACCAAAATGGCCGGATGCTGCCCAGAAGGGGGACCAAAGCTTTAGCTCCGAGACTTGCTCATGGCCACAAGGTGGCTGAGCGCTCGGAGGCTTTTTGTCAAAAGACCCGAACAGGAGAGGCATCTGTGGCATATTATGGCACCTGCTTCTGTCTGAGCAAGACTTGATACACACAAATTGATGCATGAATGCCATGATTCTGCCATGATGTGACACTGGTGCCTGTCCAAGCACTTCTGCGGTCGCAGTTGCGACCGGTGCAGAGTGAGCGCTGACAAAAAGCAAGCTACAGCGGACCGGCGCACAATGCATGATGCTTCCGGACAAAGGCGACCAGCAGGTTTGTTCTTACGCCCAGATCTCTACTCACTTTTTTCTGTGGGGGCTGACTTGGCTGTTCGTCAAGGTTACTTTCGGCAGGAATGAGGCCTGCCGAGACTTGGGATGTGCGGCCTTGTGGCTCAGAGCGAACTTGCGAATACGAAGTCAGGAGCCTCTAGGCGCATTGGGTCCAATGGACATCCGCATGAGGCGAACCGGGGGGCAGATCAAGCCAGCCTGGCAGGAGAGCATTGTGGAGCTCTGTACAGATGTCATCGTGGTGAATTCCTCGGCCAGCGCTTGCAATGCCTGCAGTGCTTGGCAGCATGGGGCCCTGCTGCTTGATTCGCAGAGATCTCGGCGTTTGGAGCCAGATGTCGTGTCCTTCGGCGCTGCCGTGAGTGGTTGCGAGCGGAGCTGCCTGTGGCAGAGGGCGCTTGGCCTGATGGGCACCATGACTGCGCAGCTGGTGCCGGGCAACATCATCGTCTACAGCTCGACTCTGAGCTGCTGTGGCAAGGCCCGCGCATGGCGCCAAGCTTTGCTGTCCAAGATGCTGCAAGCGCAGCTCAAGCCAAACATCATCACTTATAACTCGAGCATCTCTGCTTTTGAAAGGGCAGAGTGGCAGATTGCTTTGTCTGCTTTCATGAACTTGCGGTGTGCCCAGCTGGAGGGCAACAGCCGGTCATACAGAGCGGCACTTGGGGCGATCGGAGAGAGCCATCAGTGGTGGCAAGTGATGGCAATGATTGCATGCAGTGAAGCGGCCGTGGGGCTCAATAATCAACTACTAAGCACGGCTATTGGTGCTTTTGAGCAGTGCGAGCAGTGGGACAGAGCCTTGAGTTTGATTTACCAAGCTCAGCAAGAAGGGTTCCCAATCGATCTGATCACATGCAACAGAGCCTTAAGCGCTTGTGCGACCTGTGCGCGGTGGCAAGAAGCATTGCTCTTGGTGCGTGAGCTCCGGCAAGCCAGGGTGCAGGCAGACAGAGTCACTTTCAATACCCTGATGCATGCAACTGGCCAAGGCCGTCAGTGGCAACAAGCTTTGCTTTGGCTTGAGAGGCTGGACTCAAGTCGAGAGGCTGATGAGATCACCTATGTGTCTGCCATGGCTGCCTGCACTCGCGAGCATTGGGCCCGGGCACTTCAAATTTTTGCAGCGATGCTTGGTAGGAGGCTAGGTAATGACTTTGCTTATAACTCAGCAATTACTGCCTGTCAAAATGGCCATCAGTGGCAACACAGCATGCACTTGATGTTCATGATGGCAGCAGCCAGTTTCAGACCCTCCGTGATCTGCTGGGACTCAGTGATGTTGGCCTGCCTCGGAAGGAACGAGGAGCTTGCGTTTCAGTCCTTTCTGGAGTCTGCCCCGCTGAGAGAACCCGTGTCCTTTTTGTGGGCATTGGCAGCCCTGGGCCATGATCTTGAGCCAGTGGTTATCCACCGTGCTTGTAGGGATGCGCTCAACGTCAACTTCTCGAAAACCGCTGACTTGGCCCGTTTGTGGTGGTCAGCTGCAGCGCTGGGGGCAAGCAGTCGAAGGCTTCGTGGATTGGCGTCAGCGTGCCACCTGTCGGCATTCAGTCTGGAGGATTTGAGTATGGCAGTCACCGGCATATCTGCACTGGACCCACTGAACTCACTGGACCAGGATTTTCTGCTGGATGCTCAGAAAGCTACAGAGCAGTGGCTGCGAAGGGCTGAAGCATGGCAACTCGCGTTCGCTGAACAAGGCCAGGATCTGCTCGCTATCCTGTTCTCATGCAGGATGAGCCGGTGCCTCCGGACTGGTTTGCTGCAGTTGTGCCAGAAGGCAATGCGAACTGTTGGACGTTCGCTTGATGCGGATGGGGTGTCCAAAGATGTTGGAGCGTCAGGCCTTTTGACCGCCTTGGATCAGAATGACCGATTGGTGCTGATGAAGCCGGCCGGCTGGGAGGTCTTTGGGCAGCACGTGGAGCATCAGCTCCTGGAGGTGACCAGACCTCTGGGCTTTCCGATTTTTGAGGACCCGAGTCACAACTTCGGGTTCCTGCACCGCCTGGACGTGCCCAGCTCGGGGCTGATCTTGGCGGCGAAGAGCTACGAGGCCTTCTACGACCTCCAGGTGCAGCTTCACGCGGGCGCTATAAAGCGGGACTACACCGCCCTCTGCCACGGCTGGGCCAAAGTCCGAGAAATCCGCGCGCGCACCCGCAGCAGGGACGGGCGGCCAACGAAGTCGGGCGGCCAGGGCAAGCCCAGCTGCTCGGTTCTGGCCCTTCTGCAGCACTTACAGATGTTTGGAGCCTTGAGTCAGCTGCTCATCACAATTGTCACCGGACGGAAGCACCAAATCAGAAGCCACCTTGCACATGTTGGGCACCCTGTCGTTCGGGACAGGATGTACACCAGCTGGACTTGCTTCCAGGATGATGGCAAGCATTTCGCAAGAAATTGGTTGCACCGCCATCAAATTACCTTCCGATGTGCAGACGGCAAACCCTGTCATGTTGTATGCCAGCTGCCAGCAGACTTGGACATGTCTCTCAGACATGCCCGCGTCGTGCGCCGTGGCAAAGGATAAGATGCTTGAAAAACCTTTCACACAAGGATCCATCACGGGAGCCTGGCAACGGGAACGTCCACGAGCGCGTGCTTCGATGCGAGGACTATCTCAGGCCTACACGCGAACGAGGTGGGCCATCCATCACACCAGGATGATGCTGACTTTCCCAGGCTTCGGCTTGCCTGCAATGATGGCATCTTCGAGGCGTGCCGTTGATGCGTTTCCTCTTGGGCTTGGCACAATTTTACCCGCACACTGTCGAAGGCCATCCCGCCCGAGCATCCTCGGACAAAGCCTGGAGCACTTCTGGCAGTTGGCAAATGACCGCGAGGGCAGGAGTTGCTGATGCTTGCGGCTGGAGCTTGACTTTCCGCGTGAGAGAGGTTTTGTTTTGTCCGCCTGACAGCTGTTCCTGCTCTATGAATCCTAGGAATCCCAATGAACACCCAAGTGGACATTGCCAGCAGCAACAAGGCTTTTCTCGCAACCATCGTGAGTTTTGTCCCACCAGCCAGCATTAGAAAGCCGGAGCAGCAACAAATCATGCCAATCGGGCCAACCGGTTTCAGAAACGGCACCGTTTGTAAGGCTGATCAATTTCACAGTCAGGTAGGTGCCTCGAGGGGCTGCCTGGTTTGCCGAGTCGACACCATGATGATCGATGCAAGAGGCCCAAGATCGCTGAGCGATTGATCGATTGGAGTGCACGGGCTCGGGCCAAAGGGGGAGACATTGCTTGCGTTTGTCTCTGGCTAAGTACCAACATAACACGGCCCGACTCAGAAACCTTTGATCGTCCCAGGCCACTCTCTTGGGCCTTTCGTGCGTGGTGCCATATTTGTTTGTATCGTCCTTCAAACCAACGCTGCCCTCGGTTTTAATTTGCTGTTCCCATTGTCCCTGCATCCATATCCTTGCGGCTCCCTTTCTTCCTGGAGTGTTTTCCTATCGACCTTCCTCCCTCACTGTGTTCTCGCCCCTTCCCTCCCCTTTCCTGCCTTGCTGTTTGCGCCTCTTGCATCAATTCCGAGTTTCTCCGAAGACCTTGCCTTGCTCACACCTCTGGTTGCATGTTTGCTTAACATCATTTTGTTTCTGAACGCAGTTCCGGGCACCCCGGCCACCTGTGCTGAGGCGCATGATGCCCTGGGCTGCATCGCTGCTCTCGGTGCCACAGCCTCGGAAACAGCGGCTTTTCGTTCGCACCCGCTGAAGTCAGCCCGTTTCTCGTTTCGGGGGAAGAGCACCAAAGGTGAGGTAACAAGAATAGCCTCGAAGGTGCTCAAATTCTCCAGAAATACGGTCAGGAATACCCGTAGCGGGTGCAAGCCGAACCGACCTTGCACCGTGCCTGCGGCTTGCACAGGTCCGCCTGCGCTCGCCTGACGCCAGCAGGTGGGCGATGGTTTGGATCGGCAGCTTGCCGTGCTGCGAGTTGGGATTTTGGTTTTGGTTTCACACGCTCAGCTTGCCGGAGCCAATGGAGCGCAACGGATGAGCTTGCTCAGGCCCGAGAGCCTTTGTCAGCTCCTGCAGCTGGCCTACGGCGTTGTGGAGACAGGTGGGCCTTTGTGCAAAGCCCGGAGTGAGTAAATGAATCAAATGACAAGTCAAGAGGCCAAGGTCACACGACGGAGGAGTGAGACAAGTTCGCATTCGCTTTCTTGGATTCGATGCGTCCAGTTTCTGCGCTTGCTCCCACCTAACAAGTGTCACTAGATGAGACTGCTCGAGCACCAAGGCTTCCTTGCGGCATTCGTTGTGCTTGCGAATGGGATTGGACAAGATTTCAAGGTTCGCAGACTAGACAACCCTGCAGGTTCTGCAAGTCAGGAGGCTGGTTATAGCGATCGGTTTCAGTGGGTTGGTGCCAGGTGCTTGTTGGAGGGAGTTGTGCGCCGTGCGGATGCCGACCCCATGCTTTGGTTCTGGAGCAGCGGGCTGCCAGACGTGTAGCTTCCGCTAGACTTGGAGTAGAGCTTGTCACGACAGGTGACTATTCATAGTGCATCCTTTGACAGATCCAACCGGTGTGACCATCGCATTTGCGCGCACGTGCTCTTCAAAAACAGAGCGACGCAGTGTCTTCTTGCCGATCTCGCAGGTCATGCATCACTTGGCAGATGCGGTGGCTTGGGCCGCGGCCCCCGCAGCACAGGACATTGCGGTTTTGTTGTTGGCGGCAAGGATGCTTTTCATGTTTAGACTTGGACTTTTATACATGCTTGCTATTTGGCGTCACTGACCAAACAAAGGGCATATTTCCACGAAGCCTGACAATGCGATGCTTTTAGTGTTTCCGTGCATCCGTTATGATTTTAAACTACATTGCTCGGGTATTTGGCATCTTGTGTGACACATGTTTCTTGCCTATTGCCAGCATCTATGGAAGCGGGATTGATTTTGCGTGATTTATTTGCACGACTCCACATTGGAGGACAGCGACAGACCCAATGCGGAGTGGAACGCCCTCGCATGCATTTGTGCTGCGGCTGGTCAACCGCACGAGGAGGCTAGGCCTGAAGGTTTCGTGTGAGCTGGTTGGCGGAAGGCAGGACGTCTGATGTTGCAATTGACTGGGCCACGTTCCCTGAGCCCGCGCATGTGCGATGGGTGGTTGGCTTCTACTTACTTGAGATTGGCCATCTCTGAAGCTGGTTGCAGACAATCAAGACCCTAGCGCCAACAAAACAAACTGAAGGACTCACGCCCGCAATTTGTCACTTCCATCTCTTGGCAGCTCTTCGCCAGGTCTTTGGCAGTCCACCAGTGATTGCTTCACGCTCCAACAGCCAAACTGTTTGGCAGGCAAGGAAGTCAGCAGCATGGTTGTTTAAGAGCGCTGAAAGTGGCGGTCTTCAGAATTCAATCATCGCCAGCTGACTTTCGAAAGATCCCTTCCTTTGTAGCTGACTACTGGATGCCCTGACGTGTCACCTTTAGCTTGTGTCTTACAGGCAGTTCTCCTTGTGAACAACCCACTTTTCGGCTGATCCTGCCTCCCATCGATTCGGGTTGTGTTTGCCGGGCTACTCCATTTGGCATGGGAGCACACGCATTCGGAATTCGGCTCCAGGCCCTCGCGCCCGAGGGATTCGCCGACGGCAGCGCTGTCGGCCGGGCACCCGAGTGCCGTCCCAAGGGACTTGGTCAATCCGATCCAGAAATTTCGTTCCAGCAAATGGACTTTTCTCAATCCCCAGTGTTCTTGCGGAGGTCAGAAAAATGGGCCTTGGTCCCTTTGCTTTGCTTCCATGTCTTTGCTTCCTTTCGGGTCAATTTGGATGATGCTGGTCTTTCTGTGATCTTTTTGGTGCTTCGGGGCTTCGTGCAAGGCGTGACTTCTTCCCCGTTCCCGCTGCTTTGGCTGCCACACTGGCTGCCAGAGAGCGAGGTCTCAGAGGTTCTGGCCATTGCCGAGGCCGGATGCCGCGGTCAATCAGCTGCGCTCTGCCAGCGGTACTTGCGGTTTGATACAACAGCAGTAGATGATGAATGTTGAGTTTGCTCATGGTTAAAAGACCAGGTAGTCACCAGAGAATTGCTAAAGCTTCTTTGGGAAGAAAGACCGGCCTGTTGCATGTCTCAAGAAGGGGAACAGTCCTTTGACTGGCTTTTCGACGGAGCGACCCAAACCGTTTGACACACGTCCCTGGAGCTTTGGCTGTTCAGGCTGCCTTGTGGAAGCCGTCACCGCTGGCCACCACGGGAGATGCGTCGGAGCAGAGCTCAGGTTGCAGGATATTCTCTGTTGTGTTTGTCCACGCGCAGTTTACTTGTCCTTTAAGGGCCATTCCCAATTCTGAGACGAACACAGTGAGCAGCAAGGTCTCCAAAGTGCAGTGCAGAGCCTGGCAAGGGCTATCTGGGATTCATTTCAGCAGAAGAAAGCTCAGACTGTGTGATGTCCTTTGTACCCTCTGGCTGGGACGAGCAACTCCCGCATCACCTGCACGTCCCCATCCCAATTCTCCGCGCTGCCAACATGTGGCCATGGGTCAAAATCCCTTTTAGCCCCCAGTGAACATCCCAATCCCCACTAAAATAGGTTCCAAAATGGGTGGTGCACCTACCCCAAAATGGTACCATTGGTTTGACCCACAGCCATATGTGGCATCGCTGTTTGAGTGGCAGTGGCTGAGCTCAGGTGCGCACCTCTGAAAGCCTGGTGCTGAGGGAGGGCGAGGTGCACCCGGAACGGGGATCCAGATGTCTGTGGATTTCGTGTACGTATTGCTTTATGCTTTCTGCTGTTTGTCGCGGTAGACGGTTTTGAGGCTTCAAGGAGGCAAGGGAAGGGTCTTTGCGTTTAACTCAAGCTGATTGGTTTGTCGGGCTTGCCAGCGGACAACTGGCATGACTGTTTCCTACAATGTCCGGGTCCGAATACCGATGCTGGCATGCCCCGACACTGGTGGAGTAATCCAGCCACCAGGACATGTTTGCCCGAGTTTGCCAAACCGTTATCTAATTGAGGATCATAGCAACCATGTTGATTGCTTTGGTTTCACACAAAATAGCAGCTAAGGACGCATTTTTAAAAGAAGACCTGCCCAAGAATCGACGTCCCCGGTTTCCGAATTGTTTTCGCAGGCCTGGAGCTCACTCACTTGACACTTCATTCGATCAGGTAAGCTACACCCTGGCATGCTTAATATACTGCTCAGCAAAACTTTGCACGATGACCACCGTTTTAACTATGTAACAACCAAGCCCAGCACGAAGATATGGCTGTGGGTGAAAGCCAATGGTACCATTTCGGGGTAGGTGCACCATTTTAGAACCTATTTTTGGATTGGGATGTTCACTGAGGGTACGATTTGGGTTTTGACCCATGGCCATGTCCGGCTATGGCTTTGCTTTTTTTCCACCAAAACGGCTTCGGCTCTTGACCCATGGCCACATGGGTCTTCCGTTCATGTGCATCCCTCCATGTCCAACGCATGTCGGTGGGTCAGGTGGCCTGCAAGCTGCGCGCCCGCGCGGCGCGGCTGGTGGGCCTGGCCCCGGAGTTCGCGGAGCCCCCGCAGCTGGCCGGGGCCCAGGATGACTTTTGGTCTCCAGCTGATGGGGTATGACCTTGGCAAGGCTGGGATTCCTTTGGTGGAATTCCGTGGGGAGAATTCCAGTCCGTCCTTCACAAACTCGGCTCATTTAGTTGTGCTCTTGTCCCCCATGTGAGCTTGAACGTGGAAGTTGCATGTCGCTCTGTCAGCTGGGTAGACTTTGGCAATTCAATTCGGGATTGCTTTGACTCGGGATTGCCTTGATGGAGAGAATTTGTTAATGTTGAAACGCATGTGGAAACATGAACTGTGTGTGG